TGGCATCTTCCCACATAAGCAATGGCCACCACAGAAAACAACAGATTTCTGTGGAGGAACAAACCTCTTACACACTAGAGCCTGCCCCAGGAGTTTGGGAAAGAGGACCAGTTTTCTTCCTCTCTCTCTCATTCCTTTTACAGTCCCAAGCAGTATCTCCACACTATTAGACGAATTTGCTTCATGAGTAATTTTTCTACAGGCTGCTGGCAAGGTGAAGCATGACTTGTTTTACTGGTGCCTTGGTGATGTGAGAGAGTAGTCCTGGTCATCTCCAGCAGCCCAGACTTTTCTTTTTGATGTGAGATGGTTCTTGGTCTTGAGGGTCCTTCGTCTACGTGGAGACACAAATGTATGCCCCACCAAGAGGAGCTCTGGGACTCAGTCCTTTCAGGTTTCCAGTCTTCCTTTGAAAGAGTCTTCCACATAATACCATTTCTTTCCAAAGCACTTCAGGAAAGCCTTGGCAAAGGACAGATCTACATTTTGTGTTTTGGCTTACTTTTAAACAATTTTCCTTTTGATATTAACTGGTTTGTGCTTGGGTTGTTACACCATAGAAATCCCCACCTTTAGGAAATGTGGAAGGGATGTGTAATCGTTGTGTTGGCGCACTCAATAGTGAGAGTAGCCACTGGACTCTTAACAGTCTCTATACATCAGTTTTCAATAGCATTATTAAAAATAATGAAGAGAACAATGTTATTTGCTTGGTGTTTCTCCCTTCATCACAAACACCTCCCAGTGGGCTAATGCACAAGATCTGGAACCTTTGGTAATCACTTTTCAATTAAAGCAAATACCAACCAAAATTCTGTTTGTAAATCTTCATGCCATAGCAATTTTTTATGGTGTCCAGTGTCAAAGAGGTATGAGAAGACAACTGCAGTAGTAACGCTACAGATGAGAAAATTGGCATAGCCCTCTTAACTAACGGAGCAAGGCTGGTGTATTCTGGATTGGACAAAAACTTCAGATATGTTCAAGACAGAATGAAGAGTGGGAAGAGAAGGATTGTGGCATGTTGGGAGAGCAAGGTGCCCTTGAGTGGCTGCATTTCTCCTGTTCGGTAGATCTCCTGTGATATCTGTTCAAGCGCTAACAATTTTTAACACCTTCTCCCAGATAACACACAGCTTTTCCCACAGCAGTGTTTACTGGAAGGCTCAGTGTGCAAAAGCAGATGACATGATGGATTATGTCACAGATCACTGTGACATTGATAGGTGAGTACACTCACAGGGAGGACAACGTTTGCAGAGGGACTCTTCACCTTTTGTTCCTCTAACCCAGGTGCAAAGCCCCAGAGCAAACTCTGCAGAGAAGAAATAATTTTATCACTCTCAGTAGGACCACAGAGGGTCTTTGTGAGTTCCATTTCTGATTGTGCTGCAAGTGTCAGCATTCATTGTCTTGATAGCAGTGTTTGAGAAATACCCATAAAGATCAGCCTATCATCTGGCATATTCTGGATATTAGGAGCCTGTCCATTGCCTTCTAGGGACTTTGGCTCCAGTTCTCTCCATGTGGCTTGAAAACCAGTGCGGAATACCACCTATTGGGCATTTTTGATCAAGTGTGGAAAGGGAGGCGGGGGGAAACAAGTCAAAGGAAGAGGAAAAGAACGCATCCATGTTGTTGTAGGGCTCATTCTTCTGCCTGTGTCTTTGTTTTTAGTTGTATTTTACATGCACTTAAAAAATAGTTAGCTCATCAGGTGAGGTTAGGAAGAAAGATGCCAAGACCTCTCATAGACTGGAAATGGGAAGGGCACTGAAGGGGACAGAGGGGGAAGCCCACGCATTTACATCACAATTCTGGCACATTTTGCAAGCGAAAACTGAAACCAGCTCAAACACCAAATAAGGAAAAACAAAAGGAAAAACAAAAACGAAAAAGAAGGAGGAGATGAAAGAGAAGCAAAATACAGATTTTCTTTCAAATCCTGGGGATGGGGGAAAGACGAGTGTGGAGAGAAAACAGAAATGCCTAAATGGGAATTTGGGAAGGGTTAAGACACCAATCTCATAGCGCTTCCCATTTCCCCTAAGTGTTTCATTCTCAGTGTCTCTGAGGTGTTCAAGTTTTTCTTGAAAAAATATATATATATTAGAGATGAAAAACTCCGTACCAGCAAGAAGAAATAAAATAATAACAATGGAAAACAACCAGAATAAAACAAAAACACAGCCCTGAAAACAACAAAAAGAAATAGGGTGAGTCTCAAATTTCCCCTGTGGTGTTCCTCTGACTTCAGTAACAGTGCAGAATTACACCAGTTCACTTTGATACCTTTTTTATTTAAACAGCTTCTTCCTTTCATGTGCGCATGTCCAGGCGGTATAGCCCATCACTCATAACCACTTCCTTCCAAGCCAGCTATTTGTCCTTAGACTCCTACCATCCAGCTGTGAGTACAAGGCATGACAATAGGGTCCATATTTATCTTTTGTGGCACTTTGTTTGTCAAAACCTTTGGTTTCTTCCTTTTTTTTTTTTTAATTTTCCTTTTTTTTTATGTACTTATAAAAAATATTGTGTTTGTGTTGTTGTAATTTTCTTACCGCTGGCTCTGGAGGGAATTCCACCCCACTTTCACAGCCATAATCAATGGGTCTGGAACATGCGCCAACATTACTAAATGGATCAACAAAATCATGGCAGAACCAACAAAACCCAACTCATCCCTAGTGCGCAGGCCTCTTAAAAATGCTGAGATGTCCATAAGGTGCATGATGAGTCCATCAGCTCAGCAATCAAACAGAAAGCAAGCAAAATTAAAAAGGAAATAACGCACACATACACACACACAGATAAACACACGCGCACACCCACACACGCACAAAATAATAATAATAATAATAATAATAATAATAATAATAATAATAATAATAAAGAGAGAAATGTCTGGGGTTTTAAAACCAAGACGTGTCCCTAAGTTTGCTGTTTCAATGTGAATCTTGTGATGTTCTCCCCACACACACATCCAGTTTTGGACTGCTGTTCTTTAAACAGTTTTAGAAAGACTTGCCTACATGTGTATCTGTTTGGCTGAATGAAACCCACTTGCTGACTGACTCCTGTTTGCACCACATCCCCCATTACATGCACTCATCATCCGTTGCTCTGAAGAGGTCCTGGTTTGCTAGCAAGAGGCATGAATAAAACCAAAACCACTCGTTCCATAATCAATTTTTACACCCTGTCTTTACCCCTTCCTTCCTCCAGGTGCAAAGTAGATCCAGGCTGTAGCTCTGAGGATGGTGTGAGATGGACGTGGGCTGATTCTCCGTGGCATCAAGCCACTCCTCCATCTGCTAGTGAGCACTGTTCATTTCTGGTGAGATGAATGCAGACCCAGCTCTTGCCTCCATGGCGTACAAGATGCAAGGTTCTCCAGACCCTGAGGGTCTCCCACTATGCTGACCTGAGTGTTATCCAGGCTGGCGGCTGTATGAAAAAAATAGCCAAATGCAGAAGAGACACAGGAGCTCACTCCTTTTTGGCTGGCCATAAAACAGGTTGAGATGTTGTTCTTGAGGAGCTGATCAAAGGAAAGGATGGGCTAATCATCCACAACTGTCCTGTGGTGACAGTGATCTCTGAAGGGATAGAAGTGTAAAGAGAGAGCAAATCCTTCCCAGGCAGCAACTGTGCCCTCAGTAAGGCCTGTTGGTTCCAGAAATGGAGAAGAGGAAAGACCAGGAGTTGGCACCAAAAGGCAGATGAGCTTACAGCAGTTCAAGGACCTCCAGAAGACATGCAGTTTGGCTGGGAGTATCTAGATAGAAGAATATTTTGCAGTGTTTCATTTGGATTTCCTCCAAGATTTCCTTCCAAAATGCATGGTGACATTCCTCTTAGGAGTGGCTTTGAAGGAAGCTTTTACCATCAGTACTATGTACCACCTTGCTTCATGGCAAGCCCTTCAGTATCCTTCTGATATTCCACCATGAGAAAGCAATAGCTTTGTTCCAGTTGAGGAAACAAAATGGAAAGAACTAACAGCTTTAAAAAAAACAAACCCTCTGGTTGGTTTTTGAGGCCAAGCTCCTTGCTTGGAACAAAACGAGACTTCTAACTCTTGTTTTCCAAGCTGAGGTGGGACCAAGGGAGATGCTGCACTGTCCATTGCCAGAAGGAACAGAACCACCACCGACGGGATGCCACTGAGCAGAGAGAGCATTTTTGCCGCAGTGCTAAGACCAACAGGACACAACGGGAAAGACGGAGGGGAACACAGGTCTCTTTGAAAAATAAGAATAACCATATGAAACACATGGGCAGGGGAGCGTTGGTCTCCTCCTCCCCTCTTGACCCTTCCCCTGTTCCAAGAGAGCAGCTACACCGCTGTTTGCCCAGGCAGATAAGGGCCACAATGGTCCCACCCTGGACAGAGCTGTGGCATTTTTCAGGGACCCTTGGGGTTCCTCTCCCAGTGGGTCACTATCAAGAGATAGAGTTGCAATGGCTCTGCAGGAGAGGATCTTGATTTGCTCCTGACCTCCAGGATCCCTGCAGGCAGGCTGCCTTCCCCTTGGGGAGACTTTTAGTAATACTGAGTTCATTTCCATGTCCGCTCCAGAGGCTACAGCCCTCGGAGGGCAGTTAAAGCAGCATGACAGAAGTTACCTCCCAATTCCCCATCTGCAGAGTGATTATGTGATGTCGGGGGAGGGTTTGTGATGTCGGGGGAAGTTGTGTGTAATAGTTTTTCTCTAGGGCAAAGGCAGAGGGGAAGCTGTGAAAAGGAGAGCTCCACCCAAACGTCTTGATATCCCCAGAGCCAAGATTCCTCTGCAGTCTTTTCTTCTAACCCCTGGGGCTTTGTCGCTTTGTCCATAGACATTGAAAGAGAAAGAAATGAAAGAGAGAGAGAGGAGCGCTGTTCAGGTGACTCTGCTTACAGCCGATCAAAACTTGCACTTGGTAAAGATGATGATCTTGAGTGAGGCACGACTTGGTTTATCCCTCCCAGGGTGTCCCTGGCAGGACAGTTCTCAGCTGTCTATGCTCATGAGGGTTATGACTTGTTCAAGTTTGTAGGCAAGTTTCTGTTTCCCAGCCTGGTCATCTTGATCAAGGGCTCCGAGAATCTGGAAAAGGAGAGAGAAAAAAACTGATAGGGATCTTTTTTGTTTGTTTGGGTTTTTTTGTTTTGTTCCCGAAAGGGCTAAGTCCAGCATCTTACAGCAGCAGATGAGGGTTAGCTTTCTCTAAGCTAGGTCCCAGGCTTAGTTTAGATTATGCAAAGCGGGTCAGTCAACCGACAGGGAACTAGGCAGGCAGCTTGGAGTACATATGACTAAATGCAGACCTCTAGATTGCAATGAATCAAATGGATTCTTATCATGGAGATCAGTTATTTGGTAGCTTTATTCATCGCCTTGCCATGCCACTTGAGATGCCCTAAGGTATCTCACCCAATCTTCCACACACAGAACCATGCTTGTCATCTTTAAGACCCATGTCATGCTTGCTGGATCATTTTTGGGTGCTTTAGTATATCTGAAATGGTATTGGGCACATATGCTTAAACAACTTTCAGCCACATGTGGTGCAGAGCTCATGTAGGGCTCCTCTGTAGCAGGCTAACATCTGACTATTGACTACTGCAAGCCAGCTGCATCTGATCGACCCATAATAGGAGACAAAAATAACAAAGTTCCAGATGGAAGAGTACTGGGGAGACCAATTATCCAAAACCCTCCCTTTCCAGACCCCAGGCCTTGCTTTTCATTCCTTAAATCCATCATCCCCTTAGCCAGGATGAAGACAGGTATCTGTCACATGTGCTGGGACCTGTCAATAGGTGGGCAGTCTCCTGGTCCTGCAGAACTGCTCTTCCCCTCTCCAAGGCTCTTACCTCCTCGCTGTACTTGCCAACGTAGGAGTATATCTCCGAGAGCGCACTCATAGTGTTGAACTCATTCATATGCATGCGAGACTGCTCAGCCAAGTATGCATTCATGTCCTGGTCACTGATTGCTGGCATTTTGGCGATGTCTGAATAGTACCTGAGAAAGAAATACAGATGTTTCTTGAGGGGAGAGAGTAAGGAGTCAAGAGATGAAAGCCACCAACAATGAGAAAGAACACACTTAGCACTCTTGGGCTCTTCTGGTGCATCAATGATATACCTGTTCGTGCTCTTCTTTTACAGCAAGGGAGATCACTGAGCCAAAAGTGGAAATTACTGAAGCACTATTCCTGAATACCAGATGTGTGTTATATTCACTCAACCCTATTCTGAGACTGAAGTCCCAAAGAACATCCTGTAAATTTTCTCCATGTCATCAAACAAGCAGACAGTACCTATTGATGCTGGATTCCTTTGTCAGGCCTTCAAGGGCTTTGAGGCCTGACTCTAGTCCCACAGAGAAGTCCCACTGACGTCACTGCCCACTGAGAGCTCAGGATTTCACTCCCACAGACAAAAAATCCCCAGCCCCTTGCATGTTTGCCTCCACCATTCACACCAGTACATCTACATCCATTGCTAACATCATCCACCTCCCTTGCTGAATCCAATCTCCCCCAGCAACTCCTCTGCTGCTCAGGATCTCCCTTTAGCCCCAAATTTAAAGCTAGTCTGATGTCATATTTTGTAGCAACAGGCTTCAACACCCCCATCACTATTCTGCTTCCCTTAGGAGTCACCGCCATTCCCCTCAAGCGCAGGAAGAGTGGGGCTTTATGTGTAGGATGTGGAGCTCCCAGAACCATTGCCCACCAGGCTTCACCAGCAGAGTAATGTCTCTTTAAGGAAGTTGCTATTTTCGATGTCCTTCGTCCCCTGGGTAAAGCAGGTCTTGGAGGACAAGGTTTGCGGAAGGTAATCAGTCACTGTCACTCGCAGCTGTGCTCTGCTGTCAACTGGTTAATTAGACGCCATCATTTACATTTTTAATTTCTGCAATTTGACATTTTGTGCACAAGGAAAAAAAAAAAAGGAAAAAAAAAAAAAAAGCCCGTAGCTGCAGCAATCCACGATTTTATAATTAGGAGGCAGAGGGGACGGGGAGCCAAAAGAGCTGACAGGTGTCCTGTAAACAGCGTTGAGACACCTGCTGAGATGGAGGCTGTTTTCCACTGCAGAGAAATTGGACACTGTAAGTGCTGTATGATAAGGATCCTTCAGACAGACAAGTGGGAAAATACTCTCTATGACAGAGCGGGATGAGCAGCTGCCAAAGTCTCCTATGAAAGACAGCACAGTGTAAGAGCACTGGGAGGAAACCCCTCCACACCTGAAGGCTCCGGTTTTGCTGTCTGGTTTTGTTGCCTGCGCTCCCATCTTGATTTATTGCAATGGGTTGGTCTGAGTTGCTATCCTGGTTTTGCAGAGAGGGATTGATGTAGCCCTTGGGAGAGAAAGGCATAGGAGGCAGAGATCCTTCTCCCAGCTCTGTTCATAGTCTTCCAGCCTGAGCTCTTCCAGAGCTGGACTCTGGCTCATCACAAAAACTCATGCAACCCTAATTTACCTTCACTGCAACTTCCAGTATGCACATTACTCTCCCTGGAGTCCTAGCATCTTGTCTTCTGGGCTCAGGACCAGCAAAAAGTACTGGTCTAACTCAGTCCCATGGTCTAAATATTGTCCACTCCTAGTACTCCAGCGGTGATTTGTCTGGGCTTGATTTTGCTTTACACTTTGCCTAACCCCCAACCTCCAAGTAGACCTTGACCAGTTGTCTATAAGGGAAGGAGCCATCTGGAAACCTCTTGAGGACCTGTCCTGTAGAACTACAGAACTTCTCCTCTAGGAGAAGATAGTGAGCAAGATAGTGAACTATCTTCCTCTAGGAGAAGATATAGAACAACTAACAAATATTTCTAGACCTTTGCCACTCTCAGAAAAACTCAAACAGGTCTCAGCATCAGCAGCTGGACAAAATCACACCTGTGATAGATGGACTTCCGACAAGAGAAAGCATCAGGAACCGGTGGCATCCATGACAATGCTATTGCAGGCTCCAGAGAGCCAAAGCATATTGCTGAGAAACATGGAGTCTTATGGCCAAAAAAAGAGGTGTGCTTTGGCACCCAAAGAAAACTGTGTTCATGTGCAACCAGCACAGTTCATAGACTTGTGAGGAAAAATAGCCCGCAATGCAGTGAAATGCATTGATTTATGGTGCCTAAGAAGAGCCCATGGAGAAGAACCCAGCTCCTTATGAATATTGCATAGGCCGTCTCCTGCTAGGCGAAATGAAAAGTGAAAGGGATTACATCACAGCAAAAATAAATGAGGCTGGTGGAGGAAAGCGGGATACTGTGCTATATTTGCCAGTCTGGCTCTGACAACCAGTTGAAATGAACATTTTCCTCTCTGGTTCAGCTAGTCATCGAATGGTGGCAGGACAGTGGGTGCAAGAATGGGGTGCTCCTAAAAAGTGAAACACAGACACACGTACCACCTGCTTCTCCCAGTTTCTCCTGTCTCCCTTTCACCTGTTAGCAACACTGTCCTGAGTCTGTGAATCACAAGGGTCTGAAAGCTCCCTGGTCCCTTTCCAGCCCTGCAGAGTTATTTCCCAGCAGCATAACACCCCCACGACTCATCTGAACGACGAAAAGCAACACGCAATGCTCTCTGGAGAGAAGGACAGGACACAAGAGTCTGAGTTTCAGGGCTTGGAGGCCATGACAGACTCTCAATCTGTGATCTCAGCGTGCTGGGTTCACGGACCATCACCCACCGCCACACCAAAGTGTCCTCGTCTCCCTCAGACTCAATTCCCCGGCTATCATACACCTGAGCAGTTATTAGCCATTAAGGCTGCCAACCAAGATACTGTGCAAGTGCGTTTTGCAGGAAAAATAAAAGAAAAAGAAGGGGAAAAAAACTCCACGTACCAATAATCAAACGTAGCTGCTAGTACAGGCAGAGGACATATAATATCATTCCATCAGAACTCTGCCATGGCCAAATGACTTATTTATACAGAAGTGTTTCTAATGAAGCCATCATTGTGCTATCTAAAGAAATTATGAATGTGTATATTAAAGCATCTTAGCAGGAAGATGACAACATCCCTGCTGAGTCTTTATTTACCTTCTATTTGAGCCCAGATCCTCAGAGGTACTTAGGGCCCCTCTGCAATTTGCATACCCCTAATGTCTTCAAAACCGTTGTGAAGCTGTCACTGAACCCCAGAGGTCCTTACATTTTCACTGCCGGCATTTGCAAGGCTGCCTGCGTGTTGCTTCCCTTCGCCCCAGCGGCTGACAGCTCTCACTTACACCAAAGCTGAGCTGTGAAGCAATGCAGAAGGAGTGAGATGCTCTTTCACCACGCTGCATCCTTGGGAACATCCCAAAGCTGAGGGCCACCAGATCTCACCTGAGACATGGGCAGATCACTGACTCACACTTCTACAGCCCCAGAAGCTACATTAGCCAGCAGGAGATTGGGATTGTAACATTAAGCCAGATTCTTTCTGAATGAGGCAGAAAAGTAGAAAAGCAGCAAATCCAGCTCAGCCTGCCTCTGAGGGTTCAAGACTGAGAGTCCAAAGTAGAAGACAGGGACTATTTGGGGTGATGTGCACCACTCACTGGCCTGGGGTTGCAGATTTGCTCCTTCTTCTGTACTCCAGTTTTGGTTATCTCCAGTCGATCCTTTCCCAGCTGATTCTGGGAGATCCTTAGATGCATATCAGCAGATCATTCCCATTGTGCTTGATTTTCTTCTGAATCACAGGAGGAGACTGAGTTCTCACCTCAAGCCTCCTCATTCTCTGATGTGACAGGAAATTTGTACATTAGACATCAGAAGCAATAAAACCCTCAAGAAATTTTGGGTAGATCTCTCACTGAGGCACATCAGCAACTCAAATGGAGGACGTGAGGATTACTAGGGTAGGTAGGTAGGTAGTCACATACTAGATAGGATGTGACTTCACAGGTATCACTAGCACAACAACTCACCCCAGCCTGGCTTGAACAGGACACAGCCCATGCGACCATCTACTACCACCATTGTATGGGGAAGGATTTTGGATGCACCAGTATGTAGTAGTGCTCCCTCTTATTCTCAAAAAATAATTGTTCTTATTGCTTTCACATCCTACTCTTTTCCTGGGTTGTCTTTGTTTTGTTTTGTTTTGTTTTGCTTTGTTTCTCTAAGGAAAGCAATACAACAGTGACCTGGGAATACATCTTGCCCTCTGTTTAGGCAGGGGTAAACACTCTTGCCTTCGGTATCAACCAGGAAAGGCTCCTTAGTGGAGCTGTTTCACAAGAATGACTGTGCCGGCTGCCACTCACTAACTCATTAACTCATCAAAAGAGAAGAGAGAAGCCGTGTTGCCAGTGCTTCCTCTCCAGTCTGAAATTTTCCATCGCGGCCGTGGTTTAGGCAGCTTAGCATGGAGCTAATTGCCTTCCAAAAGATCTTTTTTGTCATGGCTGTTGTTGTGCCGTCGCTGGGTTGGGACTGCACTCATTAATAATCATTTTAGCATATGAAAAGCTTGTAACGAATCCATGTGCTGCAGACGGCAGACGCAATTACAGCAATAACATAATTAGGGTTATGCAATAGCCGGCTGTATCAAGACCACTGAAGGAGGAAGAGATGTCTGAAAGGGATGTGGGGGACTGCTATAGCAGAGAAGGGCTGAAGGAAAGCTTGGGAACAGCCTAGCGGCCAGCTCTTTTATGAGATGAAGTGAAGCAAGGCAAGGACATACTGTCAGTTCTTCTGTTGACACGACGTGGCAATTTTAGTTTGCTGGGAGGCATCTGAGCTGCAAAGTTTGCGTTTGTGCTGATTCAGCTACAGGCAGCCACGAGATTCTGTTAGCCCAGACTGATCCTATTTTGGAGAAAGGTTCAAGGCCAGGCTGTTGGACACTGATTGGACTTTGGCAGTAATAGCATGACAGGTATGCAACAGGTACCGGACCCAAAGTTAGCTGAAGACCTGTCAGTTCTTCCAGAGATTTGCCTTGAAGAGCTTGAGGGAAGGATTCTGTCTGTGTGTGCATCCCCTATCTAGGGCACTGATTTTATTTTGCGTGCACATGACTTTTTCTGCTGTTTTTCATCTCAGATGAGTGGGCAGCACTGAGTCAATGGCTGAAGAGTGAATCGGTGCACAGGTAGTTCCTCCGTGAGAAGAAACCATCCAGCATCATCTCAGTGCAGAAGATATGTGGGTCTGAGGCTTAACCCTCTGAATATAGACATAATGTCATCCTGCCTGCTGGAAACTGCGCTATGTAAGAGCAGTGTGTTACTGTGATGAGAAAATATCAGGAGTTTTTTGTAGGCTAAAGGTGAAGAAAGATGAGCGAAGAGTCTTCAGATACAGCAAAAGCTGCAGCAGAGAGGCAGGGAATGAGCTGTACCCCATGTCCCCGGGGAGAAGATGAGATGGTACAAGCTTTAATTACAGCCAGGGAGATTTTGGCTGCCCATCAGGGAGAAAGCTCTGATGGGAAGGACAAGGAAGCGTAGGAACGAATTGCCGGAGGAGAGCAGAGGCTCAGTCGTCGGAGGCCTTTAAGAAAGGGGTAGAGAAGCATCTGTCAGGAAGGCTTTAGACAGAGCTGATCCTGCCCTGAGGCAGGAGCTGGTTGGGTTGACCTCCTGAGGCCCCTTCCAGCACCATTTTTTTTTATCTCCACTGACAACACCCCCTACCTTGACCCTTGGTATGCTATATCTTCAGCCTTCTTTCGGGCAGGGAAAGCAGACACAAAAGACTGCATTTTCTAAAGTAGAGCCAGGATTTGCACCTGTCATTTCATGCTCTCTTTTAAAGCCCTTGGAGTCACCCCAGTGTTTCTACTTAAAGCCTCAATAACTTACAATGTTGGGGTGCATGCAGCTTATAATCTTTCTTGTACTAAACTACCCCAATTTGTCTTTCTTTCTAAACTAGCTGCAAAATGACCAACAGACATCACAAACATTACACTGGAAGGGACCATCTATTGACTACAGAGTCCTGAAACCACAGGCTGACAAGTTATATGCGTTAGATCCTGAACGGGCACAGGCTATCCATTTTGCATACTCCAAACACATTCCCGCAGCATTTTCTAACAAGCTTAAGACCTTGACATCTAAAGGCTAACACCATGCAAATCATAGCTGCTTCAGGAAAAGGAAATAGATGAGCTCACGGAACCCAGAATCTGGCTACCAACAGCTGGATCAGGTAGGTTTGTATCCAGGTTAACATAATAAATTGCAGATGTTATAATTCTAAATTCCACAGATCAGGTCACTTTAAACCTCTTTTAGTCCCAAACCTGGCAAGCCTATTTTGAATGGTCTTCATTGGAAGATTCTCAAGGTGTTAAGAATGCTTGCAATGTCTCTGTTGACTTTCAACTTTTCTTTGAGGGGCTACTTTTAATGCACAATAGGCAGGCAAAAGGAGACCAAGTCCCCACAGGGATAAGAAAAAAGCACCAGTTCCTCTCCTAGCAGCACTGCAGGTATTTGGGGCACCAGCATGAAATGGAAAAACTCTTTGGCTTCTGCTTTTTGTGCTCTGCCCCTTTTCAGTCTCCCACATCCCCGCCTTCATGCCAGGCTTCGGTAGGGAAACATCGTATTGATTGTGATGCAGGCAATTAAACGGTGTTAATGAAGTTCAAACAAGTGTTATCATAAGCTTGGCAGCATGGAGAGAAATGAAAGGTCAGCCACAGCCCTTTGTCATCTTTTCAGTGTGGTGTTGAATGCTAATGAGACAGTCCCAATTAGAACAGGCTCCCCTTTGTATTGCTTGGGGATTACATCAAATGCTCCCAAGTTCTCCAGATTTCTAGGCTCAAAGGGGACATTTGAAGTAAACTTGAAAAGATGCAGATCTGAGGCTGGTCTAATGTAAATTCAGCAAAGCCTATGGAGTTTTACTAACAAAAGTCAGATGAGAATCTGGTCCACCGTTCCCATTCTTTTCCTCATTTTTGAATAGACTCAGATAATGATAATTGAAAACCCTCCACCTTGTTTTAGAACTGCAGTCTGACTCTTCATGGCTTCAACAAAAGCCAAATAGTCTGTCCCCGTTTCCTGAGTTAATTCTGCTTCACTCAGGCCTCATCTTCTGCCGCAGGAAATCCAAGTTGTGGCTGCACCTAGATACTTTTTAGCCATGTGTTTTCACAATGAAAGAGCCCTGGGTGTGTAATTTGAATGCTGAACCTTGGTTTTCCCAAAAGTCAGCATTGCTCGGTGCATTTGTTTCAGCAGGCAGAGTCCACCTCTGCTTCCAACAGTGTTAAAAAAGGACTGTTGAAATCAAACTCCCAGTTGACTACCATGTGGAGGTCAGAATCGGTAGCTATTCCCTTCGCAGTGTACGTTCACACTAATCTTTGAAGGATTGGAGGTATGCACTTGTTTCTTGTGCCAAAGTAATTCCCTGCTTTGAGTTTTGTGAGTCCTAAAGGCACACTACACACTGAGAAACCAGCAGTTGCAAAGGGAAGTCTTGGAGTAATCCAGCCCAGCTACCATTTCAACAGACCTCTTAAAAGACAGGAGCCTGTCTTTACTCCAGAGTGCCTTCAAGTAGGGTTACAATCTACCACTGCTTAATTGCCCTCTTACAGCTTCTTCTTCATCAAAGAAGTTCATTTGATTTCAGGTTCTTCTGATTTACTCAACCGCTTCTTAAACTTCCCGACTGAAAATCTTTTTATCTTAGGATTCTCTCTTTGAAGAAGTCTAGTGGTCTTGAAGGATGCTCTCTCCAGCTGATGCTGACTACAGAAATAGCTCCAACCAGTACTGGAAGCCATTGGAGTTGGAATAACTCCTTCAAAGTACAGTAGCAGAATGGAGAAAAGGAATTCATTATCTCAGAGTAGAACTGAAATTATATTCTATTCATCCTTGATATGTTTTTCTTTGATCTACCACAACATCCAGGTGCCACTGCCTTGAGTCAATGGAATTGACACACAAAAATAAAAGCAGGGCAGAAGCTCTAACCATATTCCAAAACCTGCAGCCTCCCCTTGGGCTTCAGTTCAAGTTGTCAGACATCAGTGCAGATAACAACCCAGCACACGCTGGGCACAGAAATCCAGTGCTGTTTACCAGCAGCAGGAGGTGTTCTGTACCTCGTTTGCAAAACCAGTTGTTCAGGAAAACTTCCAGCCAAATGCAGCACCTATTGCTGAAGATCTGGCAACAGGATTTAGCTCCAAAAAGTTGCAAAGTGTAATCAATACTGGGGGAAAAAAAAAAAAAAAGAAAAAAAAAGGAAATGGCAGCCTGCTGTTTATCTGGGAACAAAAAGGTATTGCATGAGGAAATCCCCTGTTCTCCACCCAGATACTTCAGTTTGTCACTCAAATGTACCAGCTCCAAAGATAAAAAATCAACCAGGTAAATTCACATATAAAATAAAGCATTTGTCCACGGAAACCAACCACCCACTACACGCAATTTTGCTAAAGCATCACTGGAGTATGACACCTTTGGGTGACTGTTGGTGCAAACTTGATTTCTAAATGCATCTCAAATGCCTCTTTCCCCCTATCCAGGTCAATCCAGCAATCAACCTCAATACATACTAAGAAACTTGGACACCGTACCAGAAGTAGGTCATAATTAAGCAAGGTAGCTCACAAGAGCCTTACAGGTTGCCTAGAAACGACGTTTGCAGAAGTGTTTAACCACATCTAAAAATAATTGTCCAGACAAATCAGAGACCAATAGAAGCATTATTGTAAAAAATGTCACCTCATGCCGACTAGGGGACAGAGCTCTTTGATCAGCCGTGCTCTCCTTTCACAAGATGAGAGAAAACCATCCCCACCAAAGGAAACACAGTGGTTTACAGCGCCGTGTGCGTACAGTAGCAGACATCTCATATAACCGGCATGACATGGTATCAGTTTTAGACAGTGCCTATGAAGTCATCCAGACAAATCATTGCTTAAAACTGGATGACATTGCACAGGAATGATCTGTAAGATAAACCCAGCTTTGTATTTGCAGAGTGGTAATCATTCTCCATCTGTGTAGTACCCAAACCTGTCAATAATGCCAAGCAAGCGTAGCATACTGGAAAACAAAGCAGAGATCAACTTCTGCAAGGCTTGCTCCAGCAGCCAGGCTCCTGCTGAACCGAGTGCGGGATGTGCTGTTTGCTTGTCCTGTGGAAAATCCTAGAGAACCTGAAGCCCTACATACTGCAAGAACAGTTGTCTTGGTTGTATCCCCTGTAGAGCAGCTTTGCCAGACACTGACTTTCAGTGCAGTAGATTGAACACTACAGCTACAGCTCTTGCAGATGTGGATAAAATGCTTGGAAAGACCTCTGACCTTTCAGAAAATACCTGCAGAGCGCCAGTCACCAGCCTGTCAATCTTATGGCATTTCATTCAAAGCAGAGAAGAGCCTCCAAGGAAAGCTGCTGGACTCGGAATAAGGGGAGATAATTGTATGACCCTTAGGATCTAGGCAGTGTGGAGACTGTCACAACAATGTCGAGAACAGCAAACCACTTCTGGTCTGTATGGAAAGACTTAGAAGCCCACGTACTTCACAGGGCTCAGACACACCGCCTCCCCTTTCTTCCTCCCTCTACAGCTTCTCAACAGTTTCTCCTCAAGAGAAACAATGATGGCAAACACCTTCCATTCACACCTCTAATTAAATTTCCATCTCTGCTGTAAGGCACATGGGAACAAAAGGCTAACACAGAGCTTTCTGCTTAGGCAATAACCAAAGAAAAAAAGATACCAAAGCAATACTGATGATGCCCCCTACCTCCACCCGTGAAGCAGGGCCTCATGGTATCACTTGCTTATGTCATCCCTATTTCTAGAACTAAAACTCACCTTTCCACCCAGTTCTTGTAGCTGGGGATGTCCTTGGCATAGAGAAGCTTGTTGGAGGGTGAATCTTTGCCCAGACGGTGCTCTGAGGTCGAACAGGAGTCCATGAAAGTCTGAGCCACTACAGAGAGGCAGGCATCTGTGATGCTGTTCTTGTGGATGTCGAAGACGAACTGCGGGTTCTTGATCATGTTAACCCAGAACCGTAACGGCAGGCTGCAAGAGTGGTGGAAGAGGTGAGTCAGTCAGTGCACAGCTCACAGGCTTTGTTGTGTGAGGTTGCAACGGTAAATGGTGGATAGGAATCAAAGAAATCATGGTGTGGAGTTAAGGATTCTGTGGTAAGCTTCAATATACAATAAAATCCTCCCCTACAGGACCCTAGGGATGGCAGTGGAGTCACCTCAGGAGTGACTTTTGTCCCTGCTATCCTTACAAGTTAGATTTTGTCACTCTTAAAGTCAACGCCACCTTTGTGAAGTTGCCCATAAATTCATGAAAGTATAATTGAGGTGAAGAACATTACTTCTATCTTCTCTACACTAGGATGCGATGGAAAGTTGCACCTGTTGGCTGCTTCATCAGACGAGGACAGGCATTAAATCTGCAAAACTTCCGGTGAACATTTGTCATTGAGGGATTTGGCTTTCAGCCGTCACAGCAACTCCATGGGAAGACAGGTAGGTAGAGCTCCCAGGTTGAGACTAGGAGTGCTAATGGCACGTGTTGTGTGCTGTGAACACCATGTACTGTCACGCTCCATGGCTCAAGACCAAGACCGTGTATGATCCCCACACACTGGACATGAAGGAGTCCTTATGTGACAGGGAAAACCCCGTTGCCTCAAGGAAGAAAAAAAAAAAAAAGAGAAACAGGGAACAAATGTTGTAATCTTTGAAATGAAAATGCGTCTGCCCTAACCCAGGAAATGTTATTGCAACCCTTTTTCCCTCCTTTTTCTCAAAAGAACAGTTCATTTGTATGAGATGCCCTGAGGTGTCTACCTCCTGCCTTTGTATCAAACCTTTTTGTTCGGGGCGAATGCATTCATATGATCATGGCCTAGGAGCTGAGATGAGTCACTGACCACAGAGTCAAACTCTTGTCTGTCTGTCAAGTAGACTGTTAAGTCTACCGTCAATGTCTGCACCTTCCTAAAAGGAGGGTATTCTTCAGCTTAACAAATTCACCTGATGTTCAGGCTAAACTCCACAGTTCCTCAGTACCTCCCATTTGCTCATTACCCCCAAATATTCACAGCACCATAAAAAAATTCGTCTCCAAGTCCAATAAATGTCAGGTAACAGCAGGCAGTTTAGCATGTCCTGACACAAGGATGACACCAGTTTTTCCTAAACCACTGTGTTTCCTCCTGAGCCAGCAAAATCCCAGAGCGAATGTAAGGAAAGCCCCACACAGGCAATCCTGTCAGCCAAATACAGGGGAAGTGGTAGGTGCTGGCCACGGGATCTGATGGAGTTGTGGGAGGGAAACATTTTAGGCTGGGGATGGAGGTTCGTCTGTTGAGGGACGAGGTGGATGAGTGAACTGTGCAGAAGTTCTTCTGTGGGTGTTGGGATGGCAAACACAGGCACAGTGAGGATGAGCAGAGAGTGCATGTATGTATGCCTGAGTGTGTGCATGGGTGTGGGGAGGGGCTGGGGGCACGATGTCCCTAGCTGGGAATAATGAAGCCCGTGATGTGACTTTGAGTTAATTTAATCTGATTGAACAGATTTCTTCATACTGCCCCTTTTCCCACATACACACACACTCTGCCTTCCCCCCTCCCCCCTTAAATAAACCTCCTGCTCATTTAGTCTGAGTGGCTGCAATCAGCCTTAGATTAGTGCCGCAGATAATGTTAATAATATGCTAATGTTTCATTAGTTGAAAGCCTCTTTGGTGCATGGGGTTTCTTTTTTTATGTCACTGCGCTGTGACGATCTGCCATCAGCATGGCTGGTAAAAGGAAAAAAATGCATGAGCTGGGAGCCCCATGGCTCTCCTCTGCTGTTCCTTTTATAGTGCCTGTATTTGCACAGGAGAAGGGGAGGGAGCGATTCCTCAGGGGACTCTTTCCAACAGGGAGACTCAGCGGAGAGGAGCCACAGAGATCTTTTCTCTCCGCCGACCCTGGCTTTTCCCCGCTGTCCTGTTACACGAATCAAGAGGGGCTGCTGCCTGGCAGCTAGAGCAGGGGGCTGATGTCAGACTTTGTCACTCGCTCCGAAGGAGACTCACATCCAGCTCCAGAGCCTTTCAGTGCTTAGTATCATTTGAGATGCTCTCCTGGTCTCCAGCTGCCAGCCCAGAAGGGTACAAGTCTCCTGTGAGTGCTGCACATCCCCTGTGCATGTCTGGGATACCTTAAAACATCTCAGATAGCACTAGATGCATGTGTGTGGGCAAGCAAATGGAGCTCTAGCTCTCCTTTGACTATAGTGGGAATTCAAACACCCAGTCTAGCTGAAGACAGGGGTGCTGAATCCTCTCCCATGCCTCCCTACACATTCCTATGAGCCTGGACACTGCAGCAGTTAAATACTTCACCATTTTTCCTCCTATATCCCCAAGAGGTCACTCAGAAATACTGCCATGCCCATATAATACAGGGCAAACTGGGACTTGTTTAGCCAAAGTGCTCCATCCTCGAGAACACCTTTTGGATTCTGGGATCTTCTGACTTCCCCACAGGCTTGGGAAGACTGAGCCTGGCGCTCTGAACCCCACGCCAGGCTCCTCATCTTCCCAAGCAGCCAGAGCCCAAATTACACATCCCTCTCCTCTCCTTCTAGTCCAAGACCTGGTGCTGGACTGTACTGGAGTATCTCACTCACCAATTGCTCTTCCAGGTGTGCCGCACGTGGGGGTCATGGATGTTGTGCTTGTCAGCCTGCTCATCCAGGAAGTCAAACATGTATTTGATGGCCAGGGGAAGTGCACTGCCACGGTGAGCTGTGCTGAAGATGGTCTCAAAGAGGTCGTCTACAAATTTCTGGAGGGTTCCCTGTTGGGAGAAGGAAGGAGAGAAGAATGTTAGATACCAAGTGGGAAGAGGACATTGAATTTTGGTACCCCACTGAAAAACAGAGTATGTCTGTGAATCAGGACCAGAAAGTGTGATTGAAAAGTGGAAGCCACCTAATATTTGTTAAATGTGACTTGAGTTAGAAATTTCAATACATATGTTTTTAAACTGGCATGTGCATATTCACAATATCCACGACATCTGGTTACCAACCAGGTCAAGTAGGTCAAGATGCTACCTGTCCTCTCCACTACTAGCACTCCCTGCCAGGGAGAGTGGCAGAGCTCTGGTGGGATACCTTGGCCCATCTCAGGTATATGGTGATGGAGAGGCCTGGATGTGTTCCCACCGAAATTTCTCTCCTCTGAGTCCTACTCACAACTGGTTTAGTGCATGTATGAGACAAAAACTAGCCATTTTTTTCTACCCTGGCTTTCATCCAGGGCCAATTCTTAAGCTGGGAATAGAAGTCAGATGACTGTAGAGCAGACCAGGTGTCATTGAGACAAATAGCACGAGTGCCTGCAAAGAGATGGCTGTTTTATATGTGTGAGTAGTATAATAAATAACACAAACTTCATCTTAATCCCCAAGAGGCCTCCTTATTTTTTACTACCCATGGGCATGGAACTGAAGCAAACCCTAGAAACAATGCAGACCTCAGTAATGTTCACTGCAGAGACTGCAGAGGTCTCCTTACGCCCCTCTGGGAGAAGAACCCCAGATCCCGTGCTTGGAGAACCACCCTGGACAACCCGGTGAGGACAGCTGGCCTTTAGCAAGAAGGTGAAAAGCTGGAATATTAAAGGGTGACCAGGCTTGGAGATGGGGGCAGTTGAGGAGCTACGATAACCAGATGAGCTGCAAGCTGGGTTTGGAGGTGAACCAGTCAAGACACGCTTTCCCTGTTGAATGGGGAGTTCTAGCTCACACTTGAACCTCTGCTCTGCCACCAGAGCTTCATAGGCATTTATATGTGAACAAACCATACGGCTGCTAAAATAATCAAAAAGCAATCAAATCTCCAGCAAACATTTCCTGATATGCAAAATCTCCTCTTCTGAAAAATAAAACCCTCCCCTTTCTCTGCAGAGCCAGGAAAGAAATTCTCCTTACTTGAAACGAAGCACCAGGTTCCACCAGAGTGGTTCAAGTTTATATTGTGCTAACAAATACTTAATTAGAAAGCTGGTGTCTCTTGCCGATTCACCACTTGATTTATTCTTCGGGAAACAAACATCGGTACCTTTTGCTTGTGTGAACTCCTGCAGGGTGAATACAGCCCTGCAGCACATCCCTGACTCAGAAAGGGCCCCCGAGGGGAAATCTCGCTGGTCTGACATGGAAGAGCTGCCCTCAGGTTCAGTTTCTGGAGGGAATTAATTCTCTACATGCTCACCCACACAAACACAAAGAAAACCTCTGAGGCTTTTAGGCAAGAGACTCTAGGTCTCAGAGGTCAGGGATTTACCAGAATAAAAATCATTGTCAGTTTAACTAAATATTCCCTGGGATTGTATTACCAGCAATTGCGCTCTCTCCTCTTACCCTCCCTCAAATGGTGATGACGAGGAAAGAAAATTGCTCAGCCCAAGAGGGGAAACAATAAACCCCTAGCCTTTCCACTCTCCCTGTTGCTGTGCAAGTTTCACAGCTGCTTTCCAGCTGTCTCCACAAAAAAAACCACACCCAAAACCCAACCACAACACAAAAACAAACAAACAAACAAACAAAAAAACACAAAACCCACAAAACCCCAAAAATCCCAACACCCAAGTGTTGAGTTTGTGATCCGGAACAGACAGCAAAAGTGATTCAGTGGTAGGGTAGGGGACTTATCCCCAGGCAGCGTAAATCAGCACTGGTCTGATGTTTGTTGGTTTACGCCAGCTGGGGACCGGACCCTGGGGAGCATCATTTTCTTTTTACGTTGCGTGATCCATAAAAGTATCTTGGTACCAGGGAGCTGGGCACATACCAAAGGCTAAAGACAAAGCCACTTTATCTCCAAATCCCACTGCAACGTAGAGGGCCTGAGTGAAGACGCGGGGAGAGTCAGACACCCAAGGCAAAATGAGTTGAAGAGCAAAAGTGCAGGCAAAACTCTTTGGTAGGATTTAAGCACGTGATGGAGACCTGTCTGATGGGCAAACTCAGACAGCATTTGCATGAACACATGAAATGGTGTTTGTGCCTATTAACACCCTGACAAGGAATGATAATAGTCAAAACTTCAGAGAAGGAAGGCAGATTGGGCTGTTTGATCACTCAGAACAGGGTGAGGTAACACCGTGATCAGCCACACCTGAGCCACAGCCACCCTGCAGTTTCCACTTCTGCAATGCATCGAGATAAATCCCGTGTTAGAGAGATTCAGGCACAAAGATGTTTTGTGCTGCAGGAAGATGGCAGAACTGCAAAGGGAGCCCTTCTCTGACTATACTGCCTTCCTCCCTACCTGCCCTAATCCCTGCTGGCATCCCAAAAATGATCATTGCAGACTCTTTATCAATGCAGGCTTCTCCAAGGGGACCACCATCCACAGGGTGGAAGAGCAAATAAATGTAAACTCAGACAACTGCTTTTGCCCACACTCTTGTGGAGCCTTTACAAGTGAGTTAGGTGGAAGATAGTCTCGGTTAGAGATGAAAGAAGGTGAAAGGTCTGCGCACTTTTGCAGACCACATAGCGAGCCATCTGCAGCAAGAACTGTCCATCTCCTTTGCAGGGAAGGGACAGCATAGTGGTGAATGACAGTGAGTTCTTTCTGTGCAGACAGTGGCAATTAAACCACCTTCAGAGGCTTCCCCAGAGCTAAAGTCCACTGCGGGAAGTTTCAGACCTGTCAATTTGAGAGATCTCCACTTGTGCAAGTGTCCTCCCCATAGTGCTGCATTCCCAATTATGCCAAACACTCCCATACTGCCCTACTACAGAAGTTTTGAAGGCTCTGGCAGACACCCACGTAGGAGGCTGGTTTCCAGCATTTTGGGGAATGTGGATTGAGCAGATGGGATCTTACCAACTTCCCAACACAGTCTTTGCCCTCTCTGCAGACGTGCCATGGGCCAGCGGTGATGTGTGAGATGTATTTGGAGACTCAGTTGAGGATGTCCCCGCTCTGCCCCTACCTGACTCAATCTGTGTTTTCTCTTTGGAGATCCTGAGTTTTCCATGTCTTAATGGGGATGGGCACCTAACTCTGCTTTCTCTCCTTGGAGCTGGCCACCTATTAGCCACATCACAATCAATTGAACCCCCTGCCAAGTCACCAGTACAGGAGTCTTTATGGGCCGAGAGGAAAGGCAGAGAAGAAGGCCTTGTACCACAATACTGAAGGTTCTGTGCCATAGGAGCTCATTTCAGACTGTGAGGTGTGACACATCCTTGGAAATTGATCTGGGCACATTTACTCCCTGGCTGTTCATTTGTTCAATTTTGGTACAAGCTACAAGCCAGTATAATTGAAAACCCCAACACCTACCCCTGTGTTGACTTTCTCCACCAGTCTCATGGCACTTTACTCCTCATTGCTGCCAATGTCCCTTTTCTGACTCTGCTTTCTAAATTCAAGCTTCTTCCCTCTATGCTTGGAGCCCTCTTTTTGCTCTGTTTTCCTTCTCTTTTTATCCCCTTTTGGCATCCTTTGAGCAGTCTCTCATTTCTTGTAGGTAAGAGGTTCCATTACAGCCTTTAAAAAAACATTTCTCACCCTCTTCCCTGCCCCCACCACGTACCTTGGTGGCAAGTAGTCTTGTCAGGTAGATCTCAGAAACCATCTTGCTGCCCCGGTCACCCTCTTTTTGGTCACCATGCTCATGGTTCTTCACCAAGTGCCACATCTTGACTCCACTCTCAAGGTCAGGGGTGATCATGGGTGTGCGGGAACGGAGACTGTCCGGGCTGCCTGTGTAACGGATCATGTTTTCTGCAAAGAGAGATGCATGTGTCTCAGCTCTAGTAGAACTTGTATTGGGAATAACAGGTTTCACCGAGGAAATATGCTAATGACATGCCACCTAATAGGTTTTCATCAGATAGGCAAGAAGACCTCTTCTGTCTGGGTTTGGTAGCAGGTACCTCTCCCATTCAGTATTTGGAGTGGATTGGTGTGGCACTGAGACAATCACAGCTGGAGAGTCTACCCTGGGGAGACATTAGTTTGAGTCTCCAAAGCGCAATGTCCCTGTTCTCACAAGCTCCGCATTTCCATATTAGTATTAAATAAATTTCCATCAACCAATTCGTAACATTAGGCAACACAGGTCTATCTCCTGGTGGAAAAACAATGTGAGATGGAGAATCCCCCAAAGCAGCTGTATGGACTAGGACTTATTATCAAACCATTATCTTACAACTGAGTGATTTGCTCAGCAAAGACAAGGGGTGTCAACCAAGCCAGATGTGATGTCAATGTCTACACTATTAAATTAAAAGAGGTTTGAACACTGATTTTCAGTTGCTCGTGCTCTTTACCTCTTATCACGTCCCCCGGCAAAGCTTTGGCCTGGGACAATGTCGTGGTTTTGGCCCAGGACTGGTTCAGGGGATAGTACCAGCTACTCGTGATAACCACGAGGACGAGTACAGCTTGTTTTACCTGGATGGATGTTAGCCATATCACGCCATACTGTTTGTCATTATGGCCAGAGAACAGGTCGTGGCCTTTTTTAGTAATATTGATGCAACTAATGTGACCTCTTGTCTTGCTCGCCATCCCCGGACTTAGCAGGAGCTGCATCCCCTCCCTGCTTTGGCATCAAAGCAATCCAATAACTCCTACCCAATCATTCTGTTCACTCACTGATCCAAAACCTTGTTTTGGCAGAGAGTAACCCGGAACACCAGGGGGGCCTGCACAAATTTCCTCTCCAAGGACACCTTTAGCCTCCAAATTTTGTCTCCCTTTGCCTTTGAGTGATGGCATGAGGCATTCCCCTCTCCCTGACCTTCCAGCAATGCTGCAGAGTCTTTTCCAACTGTAACTAACAGAAGAGTCTTGCACCTTTCTGTGGCAAGATCTGAATCAACCTCATTAATGCATTACCAATCTCTACATATTAATTATCAGATGGAATATCCTTTTTGTCTCTGGATGCTGTTTTCTTAATTGCAATTAACAATCACTTCTGACCCACCACATCTTCTCCTCCCCCTGCATTCTACCCCACTCCCTCCTTCTGAAAAATCAAATGGCAAAAGAATTAAAGAAATCCAACAGAAATTAACCCCCCTCAAGTCTTCCTTTTCAAAGGTCACTGTGTCTTTCAGTAATTGCAACAACATGGCAAAGAGGATGAATATTAATAAGGTCTGGTGGATTGCTTATGTCCTTGGAGGAAGAGGAAGGGGGTTCCTCTGGACATTCAGTTACTGTACTTTCCCTCAAGCTAAAGGGAGGAAGAAGGATTGGAGGTGCTTTCGTGAATTAAAAAATAATAATAAACTGATATGACAGCTGCAGCCAGGTTGCAGCATGGTTTTGCAGCACTCTGGTTGCACATTAGAGATGTTTTGCTTTGCCCTCCGGCATCACCATAGCGAGACACGTCCTGGGCTGCAATTCTAGTATAGGAGAGAAAGGTGTGTGATGGTGCGAGTGAGACTCAGGAGGTCTCCGTTTGGCTCTAGAGAAGAATTTCCATCTGGTCTCTATTTCACAGCTGTCCCATTCTCAGTTGTCTCACGGGTAAAGTGGGAACAAAAATCCACTGCCTTGAGATATACTGATGTAAGACCTCAGTAAGCCATTTGTATTATTGTTCCAGGTGCAAATTCTCTTGGGATAACAAGATAGCTGAGAGGGACACACAACACCCACATCGAGCTATAACTGTAGACAGGCTATGCCCTATGTAGATTGGGGTTGCTTGTAGTCCCAGAGGCCACAGATTTGTCTTCACAACACACCATGCTCCAAGGACTTTGCCCACCAGAACTACTGAGCTCATTCAGCGTGCAGTGCTTCTCCCCTGCCTCTCCCTGTGCAAACTCTAAGAGTGAGATTCAGTGATCCAAAAAGTAGGCAGCTAATTATATAGGCCCCTCTTTTCGTTTGTAAGGAAGGAGAAGTACTTCCCAAGAGCAATCCAATCACTTGGATCGACAGCTTGGACCAGATGACAAAGTTTTAGATGGCTAAATCCTCTCCTCCTGCCATTCCCCAAGCAATCGTATCAACTAGTCATCTGCCTATCATTCTCTCTGCTGGTGCTCAGTGTCTTGTAACCACCATGACGTATGGGATCTTTTCTCCAGTGCTCTCTCAATCCATATCAGCACACAGGACCTTACCATACTTGCTGGCTGAGGTCCGGGAGACCGTGGAGTTGTTGACTGCATTGTAGGCAGTGACTTGCTTGGAGACTAAAGCTACCACAGATCCATCTGGCACCTGATGAGAAAAAGGGACTTTGTCAACAAGCTTCTGAAAACTGGCTAAGGAGCATATCAATGGCAGCAGTAATTTAAGCAGCAGAAACTGAGCCATAAACCAGTGTCACTGTAGGCAGGACAAGCTTCAAATGCTTGCTTCAGTGTGTCTATTAACAAAAAGGGACAAAACCTCCTGGTACACCGCTACAAGCCTGCGCTTGGGCAATAGGACAACTGATGACAAAGCAGACTCTGCTCCATTCAGGTCCTGATTCAAAGCCCAGTGATGACAATGTGAGTCTTTGCATTAACCTTAGTAAAGCTGACAGTAGGTTCTTCACAAGGAAGGTCTTATGTAGGACAGGAGCACGCGAAGAATAAAATAATCATCTGAGCTATTTCAAACATCAAGGATGGCATGTCCCATAAGAGTGATAAAACTGACATGAAACTTTCTATTCTTTCCACGTCGACTGCAATTAATATCTAGGTACCTAGCTCAGAAACGGATATCTACATTTTCCACTTTGACTGATCATGTCAACCTTTCTATGCACAGTCTCCCCCTTCCATATGATAAATGCATTGCTGGACTGAAATGACTACCACAACTTCTTTCTCTTTGCTGTGTCAGAGGGTCTCAGGCAGGGAAAAACAGGGGGTTTGGAGTGTCTATGCTCCAAGATGTCATGGGATAGTGTTTCAACAGACAACAGGGCTTTCTGAAATGAGCTAGACTTTCCATTTCTACAGCTAGGCGATTCATGTGGGTCCTGTATCAGAAATGTTAACAAGCCAGTGGCTCAGAGGAGCCGCATCAGGAATATCTGTGATAAATAAGACATCAGAAAAGGGAGATGAGTGAAAAAAAAACCTGCTAACAACGTCCAACTCTTGTCTGTGTAATAATAATAATTAGCACTTGCATAGAGTTTTTCATCTTCAAAGCACTGCAGAGGCTAATTAAATAGCCCCTCAGCAATCATGGAAGGCAATTATTGGCTCTTTGTAGTTTTAGCCCCACACTACAGATGGGGAAACTGAGGTAACAGGAATATCAGTGTCTGTCCCAGCATGCTCCGCATCTGCCCTCGGGATAGCCAGGGTGAATGATGTAGAGCTCAACACCCTGGCAACTGAGCCCTGCTCTGCCCCAGCTCATCCATATAGCTGGGAGCTCATTGCCTGAAGCAAACAACTGGAAAAAGCACAGAAGGGAAAGAAAATTATGCCTGGTTTGTCTGTGAAATAAAATAGAAAACATCCCCACACCCTCTGAAAAAAAGTGTTCTGGAATCAGCCAGCAACGCTTCAGTCAATCTGAAGTGAAAAGTTTTGTTTCCTTCTCAAATTATTGCTTGCTGCCTCCTCAGGTCAGCTCTTAAATGGAAAAAAAAAAATATCTTGTTATGAAACATAGATTGCTAAGGTGTGATTGAGGAAATGACAAAATTGTCAACATTGGATTAAACTTAATGAGTTTTTGGTGGTTTGTTTTTTTTGGTTTTTTTTTTTGGCAAGGAGGGAAAGAAGTGGGGGGACCTTTTGACCAAAACTCCATTTTTCATAAAATCTATCATTGTGTAAGTTAATTTTAGACATCTTTAGCCCTCTCTTATGGATCTCAAGGTCATGCAGAGATACATATCAACAGGACGGATGTACTCAACACAGGGGCTCTACCTAGTTATTGCCCACTCAACCATGGTTTACCTCTACACCTTAGAGAACAGCACTTTGCCTTTCTTCTTTTCACTTTCTTACCTTTTACCCACCCATCCTCTCACACAGTTACCTGATAGTGCGCCAGCGTGTTGAGTCTTTTCCAGTCATTCTCTATTTTGGTTGTGATGTCTTCATCCTGAAGGATCATCCTTGCCCCGCTTGCTTGCCGCCACTCTGCAAGGAGAACAGGGACACTGAACTCTGCTCTGCAAAGCTTCTGAGATAGGGGACAGAGCCCTGGTAACCCCTGTGCCCATAATCCGTGTGGTCACACATGTGCAGGCTGCATCCGTGTAGCAGCATGTTAGTCGTTGCCATTATGCTCCATCAGATGCCTCCGAGCACGTACAAAAGACGGATGCACAAATGTGCAGAGCTCATGAGACAGGGAAAGAGAGGACAGGTGAATCATGAAAGGTTCGGGGAGATGGTTCAGGAAAGTATCAAAAATTGTAGCTGGATGGCAAAGTTCAGAGTCAAGTCCTAGGTTATCCAGACTGGTTTCTTTACTCTTGATAAAATGATATTGCTATCACAAAACAACTTTTGCACAGGAAACACCTGTCCCTTTAAAACAGAGATCAGAACACAGAGTGGTTGCTTACAGGGACGAAAGGTCCAAGGCTAAGGCACAGCAGCACGCAGCAATGAGCTCCACACCGATAAATAAGCAGTGACCAGAGGGATGTTGATCCATTGGCAGAGCTGAACAGAGTGAGGCCAGGGGGGCTTTAGCACCCTGATTATTCAGTGCCTGATTCCCTGGCTCTGTTCTTGCTCCAATGTGGCTGTTTTCAAGACCAACCTGTCCTTGTGTGTGTTAGCCATCACTATGGGACAGGAGTACAGGACTGTCACTTGCATCAGGGGTATAAATTAGTCCCTGGCCCTCTATAGTAGCATAGACACAGCCTTTATCGATACCTGAGATATGTCCAACTGCCAAGACCTCGCCAAAGACAGGGCTTCCCTGGGCAGAGCAGCGTCTTATTCAGCACAGCACCAGAGCCTGTACTGGGCTCAGTTCGTCTCCACTGCTGCTCACGCAACACTTCTTGACACTCAGATCCAGAAGTATGGAGAGCAGGAAGCCTTTAGCTTTGGGTGCAGCAGAGGCACAAGAGGGCGAAGAATCAGAGACCGAACCAACACCCTGCTCCACGGAGCACATGATCTCTACCAGCCTTCAGCAGCATGCCTAGGGACAGAAGGGCTCCAATTTCTGACCACATCCAGTTCTTCAGCCTCTACCCTGAAATGATGAATGCTTCTCTCCTTCTACAGGACTGGAGCACCCCGTCACTTCCCGGGGTACCACCTTTTGCTCAAATCTTGAAGGATGCTCCATGTGGAGGATTGGCACAGCTTTCCCTACAGAGGACTCCCAGACTTGCCTATAGGTGAGGAATGCATGAACAGGACTGGAAGGAGAGAAATGTAATATCACTAGGTGACACCAGGGAAAGCTGTGGCTTAACCACAGACAACCTGGACCGTCCAAAGCTTCTTTTTTGGTTGTCATGTCTCAGCCACATACAGTTTAGCCAGAGCCACAACAGAAAGTCTATTCATTTGAGGGAGTTAATTAAAATGAACTCTTGGATATGGAGACATCACCTGCCACCCCTGCTTATTTCTCCTAATATAAAAATGCAGGGACCGTTGCAAATTTCTTTTGGTTTCAGCAGTTTTCTTATCACATAATTAAAATGTATTGGGAAAGCCGCCCTGGCCTTTATTATTCATTTAAATTAGCAGGAAGAGGTCAGCTGCTGTGTTTATTGCTGGGTGTTACTTTAGCTGGAGATACTCAGAAAGTAAGCAAAGGTTACGTTGGCTAAGCACGGATCCTGAACTGCCCTTCATTTACTCCATCTTCTTAGATCCTCGCCTACATTATTCTTGTGAAGTCTGAGGGTAATACTCTCTGCTCATTCCCAACCGGACCAGATTCCTGGAGCTAACTGTTCCCACAAATTTCTTGGAAGAGCATAAAATGCTGAAGTTTGGGCTGGACTTTCACAAAGTGCCCCACAGAGTGCCAAAGCCACTTCTATTGTCACTGAGTGTGTCTTTTAGGCTGAGAGAGTTTGGGTTGTTCAGCCTGGAGAAGAGAAGGCTCCGGGGAGACTTTATGCAACCTATCAGTACCTAAAGGGGGCCTACAAGAAAGCTGGAGAGGGACTTTTTGCAAGGGCATGTAGTGATAGGACCAGGGGGGATGGCTTTAAACTAAAAGGGGTAGATTTAGATTAGAGATCAGGAAGAAATTTTTTACTATGAGGGCGGTGAGCCCCTGGCGCAGGTTGCCCAGAGAAGCTGTGGCTGCCCCATCCCTGGAGGCGTTCAAGGCCAGGGTGGATGGGGCTTTGGGCAACAGGGTCTAGTGGAAGGGTCCCTGCCCATGGCAGGGGGTGGGAACTCAATGATCTTTAAGGTCCCTTCCAACCTAAACCATTCTATGATTCTATGATTCTTATGTGTCTTCCTCATGGCCTCTTGGGGACAGTGTCTCTTTGACTTTTTTCCTTCAAGGCTCTGTGTGTCCCTATTGTCCTCTGCTCTCCTGACTCATCTCTGGAGAAGGACACACATTCACATAGGGTTTCGGGAGGGATGCACAAGTTCTCAGTGTTGCACTTCGCTCTGATATTAAGGGTAGGCAGTTGTGCTTTATGTGTATTCAAGGGCTGGACAGGGTCCTCAGACCAGCAGAAACTTTCCCTCTGCTCCAGGGGAGCTGAGGACATCATGGGATGTCCCCTCGAGCCCCTTGTGCTCCTGCACGGGGGATTACCAAGCCCTTTCCTGCAGAAAGGGGCCACACGAGGAAAAGGAAAGGCCAGTCTGACTCAGCACAAGACCCACTCCTGAGCAAGACAAGGGGGAAAACACTCTGCAGGGCAAATTCAGAGCATCTGGCTTCAGTCCTGCAGCCCATTTGCCCTGACCAAATACAAATCACTTCATCACACATCTGAGCAATGACAGGGAAAGGACCCCCAGTTGTGATCCCCCAACTCTTCCTAGTCTCAAAGGAGCACTGCACGGTCCGTTTCTCCACGAGTGCCAGCTGAGGTGGTCACACACCGATCTGCAAGGAAATGCCATGGCTGTGAGCAAGGGAATGGGAAGGGAGGGTGCAAAGGAGGAAAAGGTGACCCTGACATCCATATTCACAGCACTAAGTGAAAACTGTTAGCTTTGTCCTCGCTGGCAGCACCCTGTCCCCTCTCTCATCAGATCTGCGCGCTCCTCGGCGAGCCAGCACAAAGGAGAGACATACTCCAATCCAATTTGTTACACTTCCACCTTCCGGAAAGAAGGAGTGAGGGGGGGAGGGAGGTAAAAAATCCCATTATCTTTATCAAGCCTTCCAATCAGGAGCAGCGGTAAATGCAAACTCAGGAGACAGCTGCTGTGAAGCCTTTATATTTCATTCAGCAGATAGTGTATCTTTTTATTGCACGCAAGAATTACTTCTTTTTTTTTTTCTTCCTTTTTTTTCTTTTTTTTTTTTTTTTTAAGAAACAACCTTTCTGTTCTACTTGACTGGGGAAAAGGAAATTCCAGCGGCCTTTGACAAAGAGGTGTTTCTTTGAGCTGTAGCAATGCCTGGCTAGGGAATAGGTCTATGGGGAGATGGGAGATGGGGAGATGTCCTCTTGCACCTCAAATCCTACAGAAAATGCTACGCCTCCCTCGTTCCATCTCTCTGATCTGGGTCACCCTGAAGATACCCATTGATCAAGGGAGAAAAGTGCAGCAGAGAGAAGGTTTTTCAGGGGCAATTGAAGTCCCCAGGTGGATGGAAGATCTGCCAGTTCACTGTAGGTGCCTTCACCTGAGCTAGACACCATCAGTTACCCCATTCTTTACAGGCACTTCTAGGTGATGATGCACACAATCCATTTCAGTCCACTGTTCATGCCATGTACTGTGCTTCCCACCCTTTTCCTGAAGACCCCAAGTCTCCCATGAAGGTCTGCAAAACTGTGGCTGACTGTGCACAGCAATGGCACGTGGAACAAATGCATACGGCTTACCCAGGCTTGATGCATATTCCGTGATCTACCATGCTCACGAAGGATTAGTCTGAAGAGCTGGGGGGCTGTTTTTAATCCTAGGAGTATTTTTTCACTTCCCAATAATTTCCACGTGAAAGACAGATTGGCACAGGAAGTAGGAGAATAACCCCTTTGTCTGTATGCTGCAGGCATTGGTACAACCAAGTGGGTAGGAAACAAAAGTGGGCAAATGCCTAGTATGTGATGACCTCTAGGAAGAGAGGAGAAACTCTGCTCTGCTTCGGAGGTGGAGAAAGGACCAGTGTGGTCGCGGGGCGCGGTGGGAAGTTAATATCAGAACACACAGATGGAAGATGCCTGAGAAATATTTCATCCTGTATACACAAGTTGTCTGCTTATGTATATACTAGAGTTAGACCCAGTCTAAATGGCTCTTAAAGGTTGAACCCCGCATCCCAGAGCTGCACCATTGGTGAGGCAGTGAAAGCTTGCCCTGATGTGGTCCACGATGATCCTGGGACAGCATCCCTGAGTGTAAGGCAGTCAACCTCGCAGCCCCCATCACCTCAGCAGTCCATTTCAAAAAGCAACTGGAACACGAGGAAGAGTGAATGCCCCAGCATGAAGCCAAATTCCTGTTTTGTGATCTTCACACCCTAATGCTTTCCCAAAGATGGGATATTTTATTTATGGTGAGGGCTTTAAAAAAGAATAATAACAAAAATAGCCACAGCAGAAAGAAGCCTTTACTCAGAGGGCTGCAATTTGGGTTTTGGACTAAAATGTAACCTCAGGGTGTCCAAAATAAGTGCTTTCAGCTGACAACCCCCTCCATGAGTTGTCTGGGTAACTGCAAAACATTATGACATTTGCGACACGTACAAGTCACTCTGCCTGCAGCTACCCTGCATTTAACAACTCAAAATAACTCATTAGCTTGTTTGCTTTCTTCCATGTGAGCTATCTGGCCTTAGTACGGACAGAAAGCCCAGAAAATTGTAATGGTAGTAGAAAACAGTGTTGCTGTTTAGAAAACCATCGATTTCAAGGCCAGATTACAGTCATCTGCCCTGACCTACTGTTTAGCATGGACTAGCTGGGCTCATCCAACCGCCTTTGCAGTTCTGAGCTTTCAGCCTGGGGCAGGTTGATCCCGAGAGCTCTGTGCTGCTTTCTAATGACCAGCAGAGCTTTCTGCTCTCCCCTTGCTGCCTTCCCTATCACCGAAGGATGCCAGGCGCCAACAAACATCTTTTCCTGCAGAGAGGTTGGGCTGGAGCTGTGGCTGGACGTGCATATCCTCTTGTTCCTGCTTCACCCATGCCAGCCCTGCTCCTCCCACCTTGTTAGCCGCTGCGCTAAAGGAGCCTGCAACTATATTGCTGCTGGCAAGACTCTTCTACTAGATGAGGGGCTTTTTGTGTTTTGTTTTGAGGTTTTTTTCCCCCCCAGCTGCACCACCAATGCTATTGGCCAAACAGCTGCTCATTAAGCAGCCTCCTGTCAATATGGACAAGTCTGTCCTCTGAGGGGGTGCACATGCTCCTAAATACTTTCTGGAACTTGCTGGTCCTCAGCACCACTCAGCAGGTCAATATTTCTTAAAAAGCAACAGTCCTGGCTGAAAAATTGTCAAGTTCCAGCTGGGACCCCGCACACACACACATGTCTGTATCTGTCAGTTGTTAAAGCTACGGGTAAAATCTGTGGAATCCAATTTATCCCTGGTATTTGCAAGATGCAGGTAAAATCCATGCCTCCCAGTATGGTTGCATCATTCATCCCCACAGCAGAACAAACACTTTTCCACTCTCACCCAGTCTGAGATCGGAACATAACAGACTCTGTGGCCACCACCCAGCACCAGACAGGTCAAGAGATGTGGCTGTAAACCCCACTCCTCCGGTCTCCGGTGCTCTGGCTCCCTTCCCTGCCTGCCCTCACACTCACCGGAGTGCTCACCACTCCCCTCCTGATTCACAGCAGCTCCAAAATCATCTTGGGTCCTTTCTTGATGATGTATAAGACCTATTCTTTATTGCTGCTGGTTTTGGCAGCTTGTTTCGTTATTCTAACAGCCTTTCATGAGCAGGAATCTTGCTGCAATTTCTGTCAGGAATCCCCTCCTCCCCTACACGTACGCACACACATATAGACACTTAACTTTACTCCCTGACCTCTCATTCCTGCCTCCATTATTGCCATGAATTGTTTCTTGGCGTCGGTCCATTCCTCCTCCTTTTGGTTCCTCTTCTACTTTCCTAGATTTTATAGACTCCATCATTTTCCACTCAAGTCTCTTTCACTGAAGGTCACTGAGGGCAAATTCTGGCAGATACAGCCACAATACAGTCCCCAGCTCCCTGCCAGACACCTCAGCAATGCCCTGAGCTGAATTTTCTATATCCTTTCGGAGTAGCCTCCAAGTGTAGTATCATGTCTGCCTCTGGACCCCAACTTCTGACATCTCACTCCTCCAAGCATCCTTGCTCCAGATTTTGGGCAGAAATAGATTTTGGCTTCAGAGGCACCCCTGCACTGGGCTGTACAGCTCTCTGTACACCCCATAGATCAAAGGCACAACTGCACAGAAATGCAAGCGAAGCTGGTGCAGCTCTTTCCACCCTCCAAGCAGAACAATGCACGAAGGAGCAAACCACTGAGAAAAAAAAAAAACAAACCAGAGAATAAATTAACAGAAAAACTAATCTTTCCTGAAGACCTGCAAGTCCTCTGCAGAAAGGAAACCTCAGAGCAGCAGCTCCCAACCTTGCTGGTGGTGGTGGGGTGCTGGCAGGAGGGGGAAGCAGCCAGGGGTGAGATGGATGCAGCCCACTGAACAGAGGACACTTCATCCCCTTTCCTGTGCCCGCACAATGAGTAATTAATACTGCTTGGGCTGTGACTATCTCAGCAAGAAAATATATATAATCCAAACCCTCACTATTCAGAGAAGAGCTAGGAATAAATCTCTGCAGCCTGAACAGTGCTGACAGCATCACCCTGGGCATTTGGTACTCTTTTTCCAGGAGTCTTTGGCAGGACAGCAAGAACAACTTCAGTCATGCCTTTTCCATACCCTTGTCCAAGCTGAATTCTGTGGGCAGAAATGCAGGGTGGCTACTGGTCATTTTAAGTCCTCAAGGCCAAAGATTTCATAAACCAGGAGCATATGCATCAATTTAATCACTCTCTTCTGCCCTCAACATTGCTGCTGCTCTGCCTTGTCCAAGCACGAAGGGTACACCCAGTCTGGAGACATGGCACTTGCCCCAACAAACAGTGTCTAGGTCAGCTATGGCTGTCTCCCACCTCCCCTCTCCCCCCTGCCCGGGGACAATCAAGGCCCGTTGTGCACTCACATACCCAGGTCCATATCAGCAGCTTTGGGCCGGTGGGAGCAGGGCACATTCTTGAAGATGGCATCAAGGATCTTCTCCTTGACCTGCGTGATGGTGTCACAATTCAGGATCTTCACCGGGATCTCAGGACTGTTCACGTTGTCGGGGTTCACGCAGCTCAGGACCTGAGAGAGGTGCAATGAGACCCACTTTACGTTTCACAGCAGCACAGGCACCCTGTGGCCACCCTTATGCAGCCACATTCTTGTAGGTCCCCGCATCCTACAAGCCAGGGGGATCTAGGGTGCAGTAACATGGAAAATGTGTACCAAGAGCATTCATTTCTTTCAGAGGGCACAGAGCTCTGGTTTCACACAGGGGGATTGCATCCATCCATGCCTGGGTTGCTCTCAACCCTTTACTGCACCCAGCGAATTAAAGGAAACTCAGGATTTGGCTCTCAGCTAAGACCTGTGGGCTCCCGATATTACAACCAGTGACTTAGGGCTGAGTGAACGTTTTTCTGAACTTGTGTCTCACACCACTTGTGCCTGTGAGGTGAAACTATTATATCTGTGGAACAGCCTGTGGAAATAGGCCCTTATATTTGAGCCTCATCTCCTTGGTATCTTTGCTATATTGATAACAGAAAACCCATGAGTACCAGCTCAGGTTCTGATGCTTTCAATAAAAATGGTATTCACCAAATGGTACCAGATAATCGTCATTGACACACTCTTTTTCATAGAAACCATTGAAAATGCAATTAGGCCTGACCCTGGTTGGAGCTGATCTGATACCCAAAGGGTTCTCCAGAGCTTTCCTTGGCCTCGGATCTGTTCCCTGCTCCCTAGGGAGCTTGCAAGGTGACCTAATTCACTAGTGGCTTCCTTGCATTGCCACCTGACTCCGACAATTCAGGTAAAAGTGGTCTTCTATCTTTCAGACTTAAGTTTGTCCATCTTCTGCACAGCACAGGACTGACCAAGACCCTTCTCAGAAGAACGTTATTAATTTTAAATGCAGGGCTTCTTAAAAAAAAGAAACACAAAACAACAACAAAATCTTTTTCTTTCACGTATAGAACAAGACAATTGACCCAACTAGAGACGCCTCTCATTTCTCAGAAGGAGAATGTAATTTTCTCCAAAGACTCTGTCCAAGAGTAAATGCAAAGCATATGGGGTGGTGGGGGAGGGAGGGGTGCCTTAAGCACAGACACACAGTTTTTAACTGCAATCTGCCCACTAACTGTTGGACACATCTATGTTGAGAATTCTTCTTTCTCCTGGTTACAGGAGTGTGAAGTCTATAAACTTTTATAAACTTAGCACACCTTGCACTTGGCAGGAGTGTTCAGTAATGCTCCTGGCTATATACGGTCATTAAATGTTTCTGTGCCACTTTTATAAGTGCAGACATGTTAGTTTTGGTGCCTTAGACAAATTCTAGCTTGACTGTAAATTCCCTTCTGTATTACACAATAGGTACTGGACTCTCCATCACTTTCCATCTCAACCTACTAAGATGCAGTGGGATCTCAAAGTGGCTTGAAACTGGGTGAAATCATATCTGTATAATTATATATTGGCTCACCAGACTCCTTTTGGTGCTGTTATGCTCAACTAAGAGGGACTTGTGAAGATATTGCTTACAAAGAGCTCTGTGATCTTTCTGGATGAAAGGGGAGATGTAAATACAAGATATTGATTAGATCATAATGCCATTATTTATATGTCACTTCCAGGAGTATTGAAGAAGCATCAATTCAGATAATAATAACAACGGCACAGATTTACAGTTCTGTGGCATCTTTCATCTCAAAGGATCACAGAACTACACATAAAAAGCACTGTTGAAATGCATCCAGTGTGGTGGTTATTAGTTGCCCCCCTCCCATTACACATCTGTAGGGAAATGAAGCAGTGATGGCAGGCTAGGACAGCTCTTTTGAGAGTGTTACGGGGGTCACACATGGTTCTGGAGACCAAGTTACTCTGCAGATCTCTCTCCCTCAATCCGAGCTCAGCTAAGGTGGACTGAGCTGATGCCAGTCAGGGCAAGATCTGTGGTGATTCAGCTGTGATGCCAACACCAGGGGTTCAGTTCAATTCCCCACATGGAAGCACTCAATGCTATTTAAAATAATTTGGGCTACCCTCCTAGGCATCTAGCTGCTGGTCCAAAAGGGCCAATATCTCCTGCAGTCACTGACCAGTGCCCACCATGCCAGTGCCCACCATGCCAGTAGCCATCATGCCATGCAGACCACCATCTAGATGGAAGCTGACAATGGTGACTTGCTCTTATGACTTGGTTGTCCTTGAATTTCACAGCATGCCAACTTCGGAAGGTGGCAGAAAACCTCTGCTTGGGTGAGCCATGCTCATTCATGCTCTGACTGCAGTAGTCTTCGCTTTCCTCTTTTGCAGCTCAGTTGGAAGAAGAAGGAGCAGGGAAGGCAGTATCTCAAAGGGCTCCGTGGGGAGAGGTTTGCTCTTGGCGGTCTCAATCACAGAGGGGGCAGTTGGTAGTAGCCGCTGACTCCTGGACACCAGTGTATTCATTTCAATGACAGTCAAGAGGCTTCTTTCAACATTTTAGGTAATTCAATTATTGTTTATAGAAATCAAGAGCATGGTAGCTTTGACATATATGCCCTAGGCTTCACATGAATTCTCAGTTGGTGTTTTTCAACTGTTCTCTTGTGGACCACTAAACTTTTGTCAGGACAAAGACTTCAGGAATTTTGCAGGGTGCACCTGTGTTGCACACACTAAATGTCTGTTCTTTGGAGATTGTCATGGGCCCTATAGAAGTCATCTTTATGCCACAGCTTGAAAATCTCTGCACCCCTTCCAACAGAATGAAGCTCCTAATCATAATGAAGTGTTTGCAATGGAGCGAGAGATTCCTATCACTTCCATAGGAATCTTCCCAAGGGTTTCCTTTGTTCTCTCCCCAGTTTTCTGTAGATTGTCCCTGGTAGAAGATGACCAGCAGAAAATTTCTAAGTATTGGCTTCATCCATTTAGTAGAGTTCAGATGTTCCAGTCTCCCTGGAAGAGTGAGGTTTGCCCTGTGCTTCACCCAGGGCTGTCCTCATGACAACCCATGTAAGTTAGAGAACTAATCCCATTGCTCCTGCAGTGCTGCCCACCTATGTCAAACACAACCTTTGATGTCAACTGGTGGGCAAGAGACCCCTGAGATGACCCATGTTGTATTCCTGCATGATCAGTCACTCTAAGGCAAGCTTTGGAATGCAGTTCTCCTGAATACAGTCAGTGTTACTGCTCCATCACCCACCCCACCTGCCCCTGATCCTTGTGGGACAGACTTAGCAAGGTGGATGAATAGGAGAGGAGGCTTCGGTGGCACTTGAGGAGATGCTGAATGTTTTTCCACTGAGAGTACACCAGCACTTGGCATTGCTGTTTTGTCATGCGCTGAGGTCTGTGTCAGCATAGCATAAGGATGGCACCAGTTGTGGGGTCAACATGTAAAGGTATGGGACTGGGAGTCAGCGCAGTAGTAATCTCCGAGCCTGGTCTCCCACTGACTCTGTGTGACCTTGGGGCATGGCTTGTCACTGGATTTGTGTTTATTGACCTTTTCCTACATCCTTGGGTTTTTTTCATCTGCCAACCCTTCCAGCCGAGAGCTGTCTCTAAGTGCGTACATACATGCAATGCTTAGCAGAGCTAAGCCCTGATCTCCACTACAAATTACTGGTATTTAAACAACAAAGGCACAGCTTGGGATTACTCATATTACTCTCTGCAGTGTTTGAGTGGTCTGTCCTGAGACCGGGACATTGCTATGTTTTCTGTCCTGGGGGCAGACACCTTTCTCTCCATTCTAGAAGGTCCCAGGTAGCCAGCCCACAGCAAGGCTCGGCAGTGAGCAAGGAGGAGAAAGATCCCCAAAGAGGCCAAGCATGGGAGATCTTGGTGGTGGCTTCCTCCTTGCCACCAAAATTCCCTGAAAACCCTTAACCAAAGGCAGCTCAAAGCATCTTTATCCATCTGGAATATGTTGTCAGGAGAGATGATCCAATTAGGTTCTCAGCACTGGAGCTGCCGAGGCATGCAGGGACCACGCAGAGCATGCCACTGCTCAAGATGTACTGGGCAGCTCCCTCCTACACCACCCCCCACCCCCCCACCCCCCAGCACCAATTAGCCAATAATCTTGACAGCTTCCGACACATATCGTGGTTTTTGCTCCCCTGCATTATTTGTGTCAATTGAAATGAAGCTGACACAGGAGATGGATGGTCTTTCATCTCCCAGTGACAGCAGAGCAGTGGCAGTAGGGAGCAAGGTTTTGCATCTGGATTCTGGATTGGTGAAAGGCTAAAAAATCATGGATTCTGGCAAAGGCAGATGGAAGTCAGCAGGGATGAGGTCTTCCTGTCTCTCATAGAGGGAATAATCTAGCTGGGTTTTTAATAACACTGCAGACCAGAGATGATGAGCACCGACTGTTAGCGAAGACATTAACACAAGAGGGTATTTCTCTGAGGTGTACAGCTTGGGAGAAGACCTACTGTTTAGTTGCAACACATTTATTCTAGCAAATCATATCTGTGACTAGCTTAGTTTCTGCTGTACTGAAAAATCTCTTGTAAGTACAGAGATTGTTATAGACTGCAAACACCCTAGGACACTGAGGCCGCTTCCTTGGAGAACTGTAGGACAGAGAGTAAATTGGAGCTATCTGGTTTGGAAAGAAATCAGACCAAACCAGTCTAAATTTAGTGAATGAGGTGTGTATTGTAAAATCAGTAATTCCAGATGTCTGAAAGTGCTCTTTCTTCTTTTTTCTCGCTGGATAAGTCAATTTCGTTGGATCTGCTTTTCACTCAAACCATATTCGAAACCATGACTTAAGATATTTGGTAATGATTAATGAAAGTTAAAGAATAAATGCTTCCAAAAGAAGCCAGGGCCTTGTCTTCCTGGAATAATGACAATAAACAGCCTGTTTCAATGTGCCACGCTGCTGGAATTGTGATTTAACTCAGTCAAGCAGTCATCTAGCACTCATGAAACGTGAACAACCCAATGAATTTTAGCCACACACACTGCAAACTCAGAGTGGTGACCGGGTGCATTTGGTAGAGGGCAGGAGACATTGAGGGAATTCCTACATTACAAATACTGAATCAGTTCTTGCTTTATTTCATTACTATATATTTTTAATAAAAGATGACAGGCTGCTTAAGGAAGGGCAAAATAAAACAGAAATAAAGAGAAAGAGAAAAAGAAAGGAAAAACAATCCTATTCATATTCTGCTCCTTCTTAATCTCCTTCACCGAAGCTGATCTCTGTAAATCTGTTGAGATTCCTATCGGGATATATTTGTCTGCTCTTGAGATGTAAGAGGGAGAGCTGATTAACATCAAACAACACAAAGGGAATGGAGGAGAGCTTTGTTCAGGCTGATGTATAATTACTACCCTTTGCTGTCTGCTTTATATCAAGCCTAAAAGGATCGGAGGGATTTCCTTTGGTGAAAGTGATCACTCTGTGTCTGCATTTTTCTTCATTTTGCTCACTCCTTCCATGTGAGATCAGGCTTCCAAATTGCTAGACAACCACATGTAATAGAAAAGAAGCACTACGCTGCCGGTTTCATAGGAAAGTCACGTTTTTAATATGCAAAATAAAATTGTGGTCTTATTTAAGAATAAAGCCTACCCCCTCATCAGACTTGGATTCAATCAAAGCTCAGCTCTAGACTGTAATTACTGAAGAAAAGCAGGCATTTCTAGCGTCAGCCCACCTGAGCTAAGATCTAAGACAAGTCAAGGAATTAACATTGACTGGACACAGCTCTCAAAGCTAGCGAAAGTTAAGTGAGATGAATGTCACTCAACTGAAGGTGCAAATAAAATAATCCAACAGGCTCAGAGCATCTTCTGACCACCCTAAAATTTGGCATTGGGGTTTTCTGGAAACAAAGACATGGGAAATAAAGAAATTACAAGGATCATTGAAGACTTGGAAGGTGTTCTTCATCCCACAGAGACTTAGAAGTGCAGTGGATTTAGTGTATCCAGGAAAAAGTGAAGGGCCACAAACACACAAAGAAGAGATACCTAATGCTTTTTAATTGATGCTCTTTAATCGATGCTCTTTAATCAAGTGGGAAAAGGGTGTAATCTCAGAGTAGGTGCTAAAGCTGGACATATGCAATACATATCTTTCACCATGCAGACAATTACATTTTGAAGCAAGTGACTCAGTGACAGGGATTAATTTTGTTTCCCTTGAAATCTTTAAATCAAGTTCATTTTTCTTTGACTTGTGCTTGCTCAAGAGGAATGGCTGCATTAGCTCTAGAGAAGACCTAATAGGTCCCTCCACTGCATATCTCTAACATATTCTTTGATACTGAAGTCTTCATCGGAGAAACAGATTTTTATTTTTTTTTTATTTCTGGTGAGGACTATTCTAGAGAAGATCCTTGCACTACAGCCTCATAAAAAGCATTTTTGCTGTCACTTGGACAAGGCCACGGGTTTTGTACTGACACAACACCACAAGGTCTCAGGACAGCTCTGGGTTTGCCATGCCCTGAGCTGGCTGTCCTTCTGATCACATGTCCCATGACCAAGGGCTCATGCCCGACCTGCCTGAGGTCAGCGCTGGGGACACCTCGCATGGCCAAGGGCTGCCGCCCTGGGCAGGCACTGCCCAGCAAACACCAGCCCTTTGTGTGCCTGGGCTGGGCGCTGGGCAGCTCTGCCACTGGCTCTGGGCACCAGGGAGAAGGGAGCAGGCAGTGAGGAGAGGGGGGATGAAGATACCCCCAGATGTTCCCAAGAGTTAGGATGAAGAAACCCCACCGTGGACATCACAGTCCTGCCAGGGAAGAGCTCAGGATGGTGACAACTTGCAGTGATAACCCCACCTTTCTGTTTAGGAAGACTCTTACCTTTGACTTATAACTTAGAGGGATGTTGAAAGGTGGGCATCACTTCAGGGAAAAGGGGTAGATACTAGGAAGTATTTTGTATTTTGTCTAACAGAACAAAGTGAATTGCCCTATCTATCATCTTCACATTCACAGGCATATTCATGACACAAGTTTCGTGCTTATCTTCCCATGATCCTGGACTTCACCTAACCTGATCAATTGTGAAGGACTGGCACCTTCAGTCTACCCTGCAATGAGTGCAGATGCTTTCAGAGAACAGGCAATGCCTTTGGGGAGCTGGAGATGTTCTGGGCATGGGGCACAGGGAATTAACTTGGAAGCAGTCATCTTTGCAAACATGCTTTGCAAGCAGACGCTTCAACTACAAACCTTGCTGTGTTTGGGGATGCAACTAGTCAGTCTTTGGCAGGGTTACCTTGCTGGTTTGCAAGAATAAATTGTCCCAGCGGGTCAGCATGCCCATCACTGGCCTCTTTTCTCTAAATCCCTTTTTGCTAGAAGAGGTTGGACAAGCCCATAGGAATGTGTGCTCAGAACACTCACCAGTGTCTTGTAATCAATCTGCTGTCGGATAAGCTTGTCCTCACTCAGTGAGTACCGGGCTTCCCCAGTGATCGAGTCAATGGGACCCTTTTCCATTTGCTGCTTGATGGCACAGAATAGGGAGAACAGAGGTTCGCCAGCACACTCCTGCAGGGGTGAGAGACAACCGTGAGTTGAAACATGAGGAGCAGAGGTGAGAACTCAGCCTACATAACATCGCAATGACTGCCATGGCTTGCCATCTCCAACTGCTTGAGACAGATGCATCAGTAGGAATCAGTAGGCAAGCAGGTGATGGGATGGGTCCCAGAGGACCTGGAGACAAGTCTGAAAGGAAGATGGACTGCTAGTTCCCCCTCCCAGGTGTCTCTCAGAGTCCACAGTCTCCCTGGACACTCTCATGCTTGAGGTAAATAGGGATGCTCAGGCAGGAGCAGCCCATGACCAAGGGGAGATGTGCCCCTGGATCTGTACAGTTGCATCGGTGATGTCAGATGTGTGGGGCCCAGCACAGGACAGCAACGAGCAACCCACAGGCCAGGCCAGCAAAGCACACGTCTCCCTAATTTATCCTTCCCATCATTCACCCTCCCTGTCCTCCTTTCCCCCCACTTTTCCTAGCCTTTCCTCCATTGCTGCCCTCCCTCTGCACATTTGCTTCCATGACCCCCTCCTTGTGCTTTCCTCTATTGCCTCCCTTCCCCTTCATCTCTCCATCCTTCCTCCCCTCCTCCCCACCTTGCCCTCTCCTCTTGCAGCGTGTCCCAACTCAATGAGCGAGGTCATTTTCCTCTGGTGTAAATCCCAGCAAAAACGAGTTAATAATCTGAAGCAAAGTGGCCCCTTTCTCAGCGCCTACACCTGTCTCCCACTTAATTAGCTTATCTGCCAGCAGCATATTGCTTCTGTGTGCCTGTCTCTTGCCCTTATCAGGCCTCTGTTCAGGCTAAAGCAAGAAGACAAGTAGAGAGTGGGGGGAAAAAAGCCTATTATAAAAGCAGCGCTTTAGAGAGTCACCTCCTTATATCCTTTCCTTTCAGCTGAAAGCAGGAATCTGATACTGAAGTCGCTGAAATTACCTTCCAGGGACCTTCAAAACTTTCCCATGCGTTCATCCTTGAACTGGTTGTGCCTGGGGAGGGCTCAGGGGAATAGGATTGATTTGTAAAGCCTTGACTTTCCAGGCAGAGGGTGGCTATTCTGTCCAAAAGGGGGTGTAAGGTGTAAGGATATCTAGCGACTGCATTAGGAATGGGGGAGAAGTGCAGAGTCCAGCTCCTTCCAAAAAAGCTGGCTCTGAGTTTGGTGCCTTGGCAATTAGCATGCTTGAGGCTCAGTGTGGGTCCCCAGGAGGAAATTTCCATCACCCAGCAGTCAGTGGCAGGTCTCAAAGGCTGAAAGCCTCTTTTTTTCACTACACACCACCCCAAGGAGACCCTCCAGGAGGAACGAGAGGGCACAGGGGGTGTCTCAAGTCTTTTCACTCTTTGGCTGATGAGTCTCCTGCAAAGCCAATGCTATCTCCCACTAGGATACAAAGCAGCAACGGCCTCAGCCCGTGCTGGGTTCTGGATGCAGCAGTCAGGTTTACACGGTGTATTGCGTCCAGTCCTCTGTACTCTGAGGGTGCGTGGCCATGCCCAGGGCAGGCTTGAGGCAGACTTATGCCAAGAAGAGCTTGGGCTTGACCCTAAATTAAAGTAAGCAGGGATCTGGTTATGGTGTGGGTAAAGCATGTTAAATACGGTGGAGGCACTGGGTATGATGGAGGAACTGGGCTTCAGTACTGCCTCTGAACTAGAGAGGTAGGAGAAGTCCAGCCACTATGTGCTGAAAATACGGGTCATCGTGTGATGGACAACTGAGTCTGCTCGTAAAAGGAGAGCATTTTCAATATGGGTCTCCACCAGGCTCTGAAATCCTTCATGTTTCAGCACTGACCCTTAGATCCCACCTCTGTATAGGAGTGAGACCCACAAGCTTGCTCTCTAACAAAAGTATCCCTCTTTGTTCTCCTTGGATCAGAAAACAGACCCTCTCCCATTAGGCAGTGACCTCCCTCAGGAGAAAAAAATCATTTCCCTTTATATCTGGGAATTTTTTGCCCCGACTAAACTTCACCAAGACGAAATGTATTTAAGCAGCTCTTCATCCAAGGATGCTGCTCCTCTTACCTTGAGGAACTTGTACAGAAGGAAGGTGAACCAGTTGGTGAGCATTTTCTCAGCCACAGACTCTGTCCTAAAATCAGCCAGGGAGAAAAAGCAAGTTGTAAACGGGTTAGTCATACTGGTCGTATCAAAAGGCTAGTCAAAAAACTGTGTTTGTCCATCCTACTGCTCAGATCTCTGAACCCCATGGAAAGTCTGGCCTGACACCATCAGGATTAAGCACATCCTAGGTTCTCTGTTTTAGCTTTGGATTTAGAAAACCTTCAGGCAGATCCTTACTGCCCTGTTGATTCTCCTGTGACTAGGGAAGTCCCGGTATGTCTGTTTCTCAGTTTCTCCATCAATGAAAGGGAGATAATAACGTTAAGGGAACCTTCTCAGAGAAGTTCAGAGAGGATAAATCCATCGAATAGAAGGAGCTCAGAGTTAGGCCATATGACAAGTAGGTTATATAAATACTTAAGTCAGACAGATCTAAATCACCAGAGAATAGTTATCTGGCACTGATTATCTCCCTGGCATTTGGGAGTAATTATACTCCTCAACGTGTCAATGTGGCGCATTCACAGAGCTCATCCTTTTGCCCTTGAACAGTCTGTCCTCAACCAAACAAAAATCCATTTTGAGCCTTAAGGGTGAACTTTTCCTACAGAAGTACCATCTAATACCTGTAAATGTGGTGTGGACACCAGGAGCACAGGATAAACCTGTGTTGACTCCAGTACATGCACTGGTGTTGCTCAAGAAGAAAGCAAGAGTCCCTGCCTGGAGGTTTTTCTTGTCCCAGCTATCACCAAAGCCACCCAGGGGTTCTCGCTTAGGGCTGCAGCTTGCTTTTTAGGTTCCCTAATCCTCCAGCTTGATCTTGCTTTCTGTGGGGCGTGGGACTTGCAAGTGGAAGTGTTTGCATGGCTGGAGCTGCGTGCTTGGAACCAGCCAGCGACCTTGCCTGAAAGCAGTGGCCTGTTACACCGACAAAGAACAAGTGACAGTCCCTTCCCTAGCTAAATGCAGTTGATCTTTAGTCTGGTTTCCATGGGGATTTCTCTGTTCCTGTGGGCAAATCTCACTTAGATGGTGGGAATGGTGGAAGGAGGAACAATAATAGGGGTGTTTTCTGTTGCTGCTTTTTTCTTGCTTGCAACCAGAGTAAGAGGTGATGTGGTCCCTGTTTGCTACCAGATTAATGCTGTGTTTCCTTTGTGATCATTGCTGTGTCTGCCTAGAGACTGCTTCTGTCCAAACCAGCCTGTTCGCCCTGTATTCCCCTTGGTCAGCGTCACCTAGCTACTGTCCTCCATTGGTCATGGTATGATATTCAGTTCCAGCAATCCCCATGCTCATCATGGTCTAAGCTCCTTGTAGGGAATGTCACCCAGAAGACTGCTCTTTCCAATGCTCCCCGGTGTGACACTGGGACCCATCTTGGGCAACCTCATCTAGTGGGAGGTGTCCCCGTCTATGGCAGAGGGGTTGGAACTCGATCTTCAAGGTCCTTTCCAACCTAAACCATTCTATGATTCTATGATCACATGGTGCAAACATAGCATGACCATGAGAAAAAAGAACTGAAATCCCGTTGTATTGTTGCTCTCTGCCCTGACAACTTTGACCTCTTTGTGGCTGTAGATGTCATGCGGGATCCCACTGGACAGTGAGGTGGGAAAATCATTCCGGCCAGCTCCTTCCTCTCGTCAAATACCCCCAAAACCAACACTGCAGAAGGGTGTTGGAAGATCTCTTTCCATGCACAGAGTCACAAGGACAGAGGGGAGGCATCAAGTTGTATCCAACTGCTCCAAATAATTGTCTGGGGACCTCACACGAACATCTGAATCCCAAGGCACCGAGCTATTTGCTTGTTCATCAGTAGACTCTCTTCTGGTGTTGCCTAGTACAGGACCTCCATTTCAGAGCGCACACCACACCTCTGACTTCTTATGTTTTCAGAGCTTGGAACAGTGGAGGTGCCTTCTTCGTGCACTGGTTCTCCTTCTAAAGGCCACATTTCATTTCCAACAAAGACAGCTAGACTTAGAAAATTCTGGAAGAAGGAGAAAGAGGGAAGATGGGATACTCAGGACAAGACAGGAATGAACAACCAGGGAAGATAAAGAGATTGAGAAAGGGGAAACAAAAGGAAAAAATGAAGGGAGGAGATGGTTGGAGAGATGCAGTGCCATCCAGCATCAGAGGAGAAGCACAGAGAGGAGGCCTGGGGACAGCTGGAGGGAGGTCACCAGTCAGGCTGTAGGGCTGGAATCACATCATGGAGTCAACTGACACCAAAGCAAAGTCCAGTCTCTGCCCCTGGCATTGCTGCCCTGAATAACGGAAGTGCCTTCTGCTCCCTTTTTTTTTTTGCTGGTTCTCCATAGTGGGCTGTGTGCCAGATGAAGAGCCCCCCAGCAGGCACCACAGGCCTCTTCCCTGCTCAAGTCATCCATCGTAATCAGCTGAGGGCTCCTCAAAGTTGGCTCCGAGCAGTGGCAAAGGCCATTCATCTCCAGAAGACTCCTCCTTATTTTACTTAGGGTCCTTGAATCAGAAGGGTGGGTTTGGTCTGGGAAAAGGAGATGAATGTGATCCTAGAGGGAGAAGAGACAGCATTTCCCTAAGCAGGGAAAGCACATTAATTCCAGAGCAGTAGGTTTCTAATTCAAGGGTTCCCACACAATCCGGTGATTAGATCTTAGACCTGGCCAAGAAGCACCAACACAAACTTGAGCTTTGTAGGAAACCAGTTCTGTTGTCCTGCTCAGCTCTGTTACTGGATTCAACAAGCTCCCAGCCCTGTTGCTCAGGGATAGAAAGAAGATCCCACAGTACAGCTGAAGAAGACTCTCCATGTGTCTATAGTTAACTCATGAACAAGAAACACAGCAGGGCAGTCCACGTCCCAGGCAGCAGAAGGCAACAGCTGACTTACTCACCAAGGATATAACACAGTGATATACTTATAGGTCTTACACAATGAAATTGGAGTTTTCAGGTTAAAAGGAAACATGAGTATAAATGGACATCTTAAGCACAAAGAGTCCAAAATAAGGATTAGGAGGCATGGGCTCTTACTGCCCTTAAGAAGTTTTCTGGAAGACCCATATTAAAATCTAGAGGTAGTTCAGTTCTATAACTTGTAATCGTTGACTACTTTTTGGTCAGGGAGGAGATGGAGCAAGATCTACAGACACACTTGCTGAAAGGGAAGCAAATGCAGAGATGGTGCTGGGGGGAAAAGAAGAGTCCTCTAAGAGAAGGAATACTCCTCCAGGCAGTCTTAAATGAGCAGGAAACCAGAAAGGGAGAGAGATTTTGTCTTCATTCAGCCCTACTTGCCTTATTCACCCCTCTCTGCAAACAGCTTCGTGCCAGTCCTATGGGGTAACATGAGCTGTGGCTGCATACCATCCTGATTTCACACCCCGCTGCACAAACAAAAATAACGCAAATTTTCCCCTTTCCTCCCAAGATGACTAGCATGCTTGTGTTAGACAGTGGGGCACAGGCTGCCCAGCCCAGTTCACTCCAGCCCCAGACGTCCTTACCTCCGGAGCAGCAGCTTGGGGTGGTTCTTGCTCTCCAGATTTTTGTCTATGAGGTCAGCCAAGAGCTGCTTGAGGACATCAGTAGCGTACTCCAGCTTGCTCTGCAGCACCGTCATGATCAGCGAGGCCACATTACCACGGTCCCGCATGGAGAAGCTGCGCTGGGACTCCAGTGTGCGGATGAAGGACAGCAGGAAAACCTTGTTGTTGATGAGCTGGGCAAAGAGCTTCAGGCCTTTCTCCACCCGCTCCTGCCTATAGCCAGGGACCTGCACAAGAAGAAAGGAAGTTTATGCCTTTCAGTCACTGTCCACTGTGAGACCTCTCCCAAATGGGTCACACACCCTTTGCTACCTCTCTGCCCTCATCCCTCCAGCTCCTCCAACTATACACTTTGACATCAAGCAGAAGTTCATTCTGAGACAGGGAAAAGCAAAAAGTTTCTTCAAACAGCAGAGACAATTAAAAATAACTTTTTAAAGTCTTGCACCTAGCAGCCAGGTGAGTCCTTCCTTCTGCTTCACAGGGCAGTCCTGTCAAAAGGAAGAGTCCATAGATCATCTAATGATTAGGAAGCCTGAGAGACTTCCTAGCCATAGCCAGATGATTGTTTTCCAGCCCTATATTTCCCTTCCCGAACAGCTCATCAAGAAGAGATTGCAAGTGCCCAGATGTGGTACCATACCATGTTGTATTTTTACTGTTGTCAGACTGAAATCTCACTCTATCTCCACCTAGCAACTCTTTTTCATCCTCATGAGAAACTTGCTTACCGAGATTTAGAGTTCAGCTTTAAGGAGCGCCAAAAGGCAGCAAGAAAGTGAATGGGGGAGAGAGCCTGGGGGTCAGGTTTTGAGCAGCTGAAGAGATGCAGTGAGGCAGTAGCTGAGATGATGAGCATGCAGTGAGGCCTTGGTTTGAAAAACTAGGTAGATGAAGGTGTGAGAGGACATCCTGAATTGGGACTTGTGTTGAAGGTCCCAGTGCAGTAGGACCCCTGGGCTTGCAAGGTAAGATGGTTTGGAGACAATGAGGTTGATAAGCCTCAACATATTTCTCAGCTGTGAGAGGCTGGTGAACTAGTTTTTATATACAACAATTTAGGACCTCGACTCTGGACCCTGGACTCCACAGATTGCAGTGGGCTTTATCCTTTCCCATCTCTAGACAAAAATGGAGCCTAACTAGAGAACCCCAAACTCATCCCTTCATGTTGCTGAAGCTGTTCCAGCCCTTGAAAAAGCTTTCATGGAAGCTGGAGGGTCTCAACACAGAGCAATACATGTCACTGAGGCAGTATGTATTAATAACCAACCAGATTTGGCACTTTAATCCAAAATAAGTTGGCATGCTTAAACAACCAAGTAATGCAAGACCCTTTAAAGAGTCATTACTTTCTCATTCTGGAAATTAGAGCTCTTAACTCTTTTTGCATACAGCAAATAAATTACTTAGTAAATAGCTTGAGACAACCAACCAACCAACCACTGCCACCCATCCCGCCAATAATTATTTTTAACTCACTTGCTTGAACATTTAATATTGTCTATCCCCAGGTTATTATGGAGAATTAAAAAAAATAACTAGAAAAGTATTTTGTACTGCATCTGGAAGCAGTTAATTAGCAAATGAACTGGAAATAAGTAAGACCTGCTCACTGCAGGATCTATGCTGGGGTCCTTTCCAATAAATAACAACTCCTTCTAGGTGCTACGGAAAAGGGAGCAGGATAGGAACTGCCTTCCCTGATATGTTGGTAGCCAAATATGTTGACACTGAAAGAGCTGTTGAAGCTTTACAGAGGATTAAGGGGGAAAAAAAAAAAAAAAGATGAATGAAATGAAAAGTAGAAGAGATCAAAGGTGGCAGATTGAAACATTATCTCTGCATCTCTCTGTATGTATCTGCATACGGGAGCATCCATGCTAAAACCTCTATAGGGGTCAGACGGTGGTCTGTGGTCAGCTGGCTGAGGTTAATAAATATAGCAATTGAAATTAGCTGTGGGTATGATGAAAGTGTTTGTGTGTGTGTATACATATGTGAGAAAGAGATTTATCACCCCTCGTCACTTGTGCTCATTTGTGGAAGTTGCTGAGCTACTCTTCCTGAGGGAAAGCATCTCAAGGCCACACTACTTGCACCCCAAAGGCAAATATCTACAGTAGTCAATGTGTAACTCGGCTTCCTACCCATTCCCACAAGCTCTTGTTGCTGACATATCATAGTTTTTTAATGGTTCTTTCCATATACTTTGATGAATTTTGGCTGTCCTGAAGGGAAGGAGCAAAGATGAGCAGGCACCTCTGATTACACAGCCAGCCAAGCATGGTATTGACTGCGCCAGCTCCTGTTCCTCCTCTCTGCCAGCTAACCCCAGTCTTGGCCTCCAGCAATCTCACCAGCCCATGCCAGAGCCTCTCTGAAGCTGAGAGCTTGCCAAAGACTTAGCAGAGAGTTCAGCCAATGACCTCCCTGGCCTTGGCCATGGTGTATCCCCTGCTTCTCTGGTCCAGGTACCCCTAGAGCAGAACCTGTCCATCTGCCAAAGCCTGAAGCAGTTTTGCAGCATGGGCAGACCTCACCCGGGGTCCTGTCAAACTCGTTGTCGCCAGTGAGGTAATGCAGGCTGTATGTAGACATCAACAGTGCTGGGGTCTTGCCGCTCTCTCACCGCTGCAGTCCAGAGAGCTGGGGTGGAGGAGGCAGGTGTGGGCAGGGTATAGGTGGACTGATGCTATGGTTTTCTGGTCTCACTGCAAACCACAGAGCGCCGCAAAGGTGGACCTCCTTCAGTGACTCCGTGTTATTTCTATAGATGTTACCCGGAAAAAAGGCTTCTCGGTAGCGTCAGTGTCATGCAAAGCTATAGTGACTAGCGATGCTGCTCTGCCACGTGACTTTTTTTTTTTTCCTGGTCCTGCACAGCAGTAACTAATAAATCCAGTCTAAAAAACAAATCCCAGCAGGATGAAAACCAAGGAAGAGCTTACTTAATACAGTAGACCTAATGCACACATATCTATGATACTCTTCCAAATAGATGAGTGATCAAACAGAATTTAACATCTAAGATAGCAGCAATCATCTTCCCCTTTCAACCTGGATTTTTAATGAGGTGCTGTTTCATCCCTGGTAGGACACAGCGTTGTAAGCCATCACATCCCCACCACGACACATGTCTTGCATTCAGGACAGAACATGGAGGCACGAGAGGAACCAGAAGCAGAAGATGTTGATATTTTACCTCCAGATCCCTCAGGACTGGATGATCTTCAATGCCAGGGAAAAGCACCCTCATGGTGTAAGTTCGGTAATCGAGGAAGGGGATCCCGGCTCCATCCAGATCGCTTGTCAGCTCATGGATATCTGTCTGTAGCTCTGCAAAGGCTGCCACAAAAAAGGAACAACTCATGTAGCAATGGCAGTCCAGACTTCCCCCAGTGTGATGGGAAAAGCTCTCAGACCCACATGCATGAGACTAAGGTATGAGTGGAGAAGCAATATGTGGAGAGGAAGAAGAAGGTGGACAAGAGCAGTCTCACCTTTCCTACAACACAGCCTTTCCCCAGGGCCACTTGCCAAGGCTCTCTCTGGACTGTGAGTTAGCAAATGCAGTTAGGACAGAGTGGACAAAGGCTGGACTTGGGGAATATAGGCCAAGTTAGAGTAGATCCAGGCTTGAGCCATTCCCACAGGGTCCAACCCCCTTTTTGCTTGTGATATTTTGGCCCAAAGCTTTTTGGCTGGAGCTCTCTCTTCTACCAACACAGACACAGTGTCAGCCTTCCTTCCTCATCCTTACCTTCTTTGCACTCTAGTGCCACCCTGGACTCCAGGTTGTCCATCTGCATCTGCAAACGCTTGAGGGTGAGGTCGCTTTCTCTAGATTTGCGCTTGTATGCAATCAACACAGCCACGATGAAGATGATGAGCAGGCCGCCGGCCACTGCAATGCTGACAATAGCTGGCAAGCTGAGAGGGCTGTCTGGAGAGATGTAGACCATTCCTGGAGAGAACTCCATCCCTCCTACACGAGCCTAGAGGGAAGACGGGAAAAAGTGGCACTGAAATTGCTGAATAAGCAGGAACACAGAGAATCTCCATCATCTCCCTGACTGAGGCTGAACGATGACTTCCCTTTGTCTCCTAAGTTAAACAGGGCATGAAGCACTTGGATAGACAACGGCTAAAAAAACTTGAAATGCCCTGTAGAAGCACCTCTGTTGACAGAGTGGCCATGAACCCAACCAACAAAAGACTTCTGGTGAGACAAATCTCATCAGTCCCAATATCCTGGCTATAGAGCAGTTCATTCTGGGTTTTCCGTTGCCTGTCCCAAACAGCTACATTGTGCTGGACTGCCCCGATGACACTTAGTCCCAAAATGCACACAGGACGCACAGCTCATGGTTATGGTCTGATGGGTCCTAACCTCAAAATGGGACAGGGGACATCTGACCCAGACAGCTAGCACAGCAGCAGTCAGGACAGTCAGAGTCACAATTTGCTTTTGAATCTTCAAGCAGAGAAAACTGTATTTGAAAGCCACTGGGATAGGGAAAAAATACCCCAAACACACAAAACCCACAGAGGTTGGCCAGTGCTCTTTACATTCCCTCTCCTAGCCACACATTGGCAGAGTGACTGCCGATGCTCACCAACATCCCGTTGGGGAGCTGAACACAGCTTTCTGCTCTCCATGTACTCCCAGAGGTTCCCAAGGCTGCTGCCAGCCACTGGGACAAGCTGCTGTGGGAGGACCTTACTTTTAACAGCCAGAAAGAAATCCTGCTGGAGGTACTGCTGAAAACCCAACAAAATGCGCTGCTGAAGTGAGTCTGTTAGGAGCCCTTTTTTACCACGTGAAAACCACTCCCAACAGTAATCCCACAGGGTACTACTTGCCCAAGGCTACTACAAGGTTATTCAAGGCCATTTGGAGAGGAGGATAAGTTTGAACGGCAGGGGGAAAAGCGTTGCTGGCTAGCTTGAGGTATAAAGAAGGGTCCTAGGACTGTGCTGTGGTAGGGGAACACTGGTTATAGATCACCACAAAGGAAGATGCCATGCAAAGAGCTTGAAGGATCGTGACACGGTGGTGAACCCCACCTGAGCTTCGTCACAGAGAGGGACAGTGGGCCTTGCACAAAGTGCAAGATCTTGGTGCCAGGCAGAAATGCAGTCAAGACCCCAGGGCTATGTGCTTCCCCCTCCCACTGCAACTGGGACCATTGCAGCACATAACTGAACCTTTTTCTTTCTCTTTTATATGAAGCTCTCCCTCACCTTCCCAGATCCCATAGCAGCTAGTGAAAATATCCCCCCACATCCCACCCTGGTGGCTAGCCTTGTCCTTCATCCCGCTGACTCTCAGTTAATCAATCTGTCTCCAGCTGGTTTGCGTACGCATTAATCCCAGGCCTCCCATGCCTCAGCTCAGGCACTTACTCAAGTTTCTTCTCTAGCTTGCAGGAGGAAGAAACTGGCCCAAGGAGGAAAGGTTGGAGCCAGCAGAAGAGACTATGGAGCAGAGAGTCATGAATTAATGGAAAGTTTACCAGTTGCTCTAGCTCCTCACCACCACAGCCCTTGCTGGGGATGTGAATATCTGTGACCCCACCATCTCCTAGAGATTATTCTGGCCCCAGTTACAACCTCTGAGAAGACATCTGTTTTGCTCTAGCACCAGCTGGAAGATGTTCCTCAGTGGGTCCTGGCCAAAGCCACATAAATGTTACCCTTATGTCTTGTACAGGACAAAAGCAAATGTCTGGAAACATTTAATTTCCATCCACAAGGTCCTCTCATGCCCTGAATACTCCTAAGCATTTTGGGATGGGCTCTAGAAAGTTAACAATGTCCACAATGATAAATGAAACCAAGTTAAGCTCATCTGACCAGGTAGGTAAAAAAGTTTCAAGGTGACCATTCCTGGAGCATGACATTGATGACTTTTAGAGCATCTTCAGTGGCCAAGGAACAATCCAGCACCCATGTAAGTTGAGGATGCAGCAGCAACTAGTCTTCCCATCTGTTCTAAGATACAAGGTCCAACTCATTTATAAAAGCCTGCAAAGGGCAGAGATTTGATATTGGTATGTGGTAAGCTCAACCGAGAAGACAGACTGCTAAACACACATGGTAATCTAAGCACTGAAAGCTATTGCCTTTTATCCTAGACCACTGTGCCAAATCCTTCCAGCAAAATTTGCTCACCAGTTTGCACAATTTCCCCCCTGTGACAGTGGATCAATAAATATTGATTTTATTTCATTTTCTGTTTCCGACAGTGGCCCTTTTCCCCCAAGCCTTGCAGTCAGATGAGTCCATTCAAGGAGATTCAGACTAGAATCAAACAGCCCCATCCCAACCCGCAGTTCAGGTCCGTCCTCAAAGCTCACAGCACAGCCCGTCTCCATGGGTGGGATTCCTCTTACCAAACGTTCGACATGCATATCTGAGTTAGACATTACAGCATGCTTTCAGAGTCAATACAGAGAAAAAACACTTTTAGAATGTGATTTATGTGAGCTGCTTTTGACACCTGCTTTGACATTAGGATGAGAAGTTTTATTCAGTGGAAGTTCCTATTTCTCTCCATTAACTATAAGGGGATCTAGTCTCCTAGAGGTAGGTGTCTAACATATTTAGCCCCAATGCATTCCTCTCTGAAGGCGGTTTCCCTCACTGGGAAGGTCTCACAGTCCCCGAATCAAACTACCATGATCTGAGGAAATCTATCTCTTGAAGAAGAAAGCCTGTGAGGCTCCGGTACTATTGTAAGCATTAAAAGAAAAACAAGCCAATATGAAGATACACCCCTACTTTATTTCTTGGGACACTAAGTGTTTCTCATGGAAGTTATTTATACCTTCCAGAAGACTGAACATGAGCCCTCCATACTGCCAAACAAGGGTTTGGCCACCTGTTAAGCCTGTTAATCATGAATTTGTTCTAAATGGCACTATGGTAGAGCCCAATTTTCTCCAGCTAAGTCTCAGCAGTCATCCGTAGCAGTTCAGGAGTTATTGTTGTGCAAAATTTTACCATCATAGTGTCTTTCCTAGTGCAAGTTTTCCCTGGCCAAATGTAAGTGTCTACCTCAGGATGAGATTAATTGTGCCCTGAACTTCAGTTGCTATATTTTGCCATCTCTCCATTCACTATACAGAGTCCAGTATGTCTTTCCATGTGTAAGTGCCTGCATTAGAGACCAGCAACCCTTCAAATGTTCTCTTCTTCCTCACTGCAGACCTTCCCCAACATAGTTACCCACGGATCTTCCTCATGCCCTTTTCTTTCCCTTGGAAAAGAGCTGGCCTCTGAGTTTTAGTCAATCTTTTTAACCATTGCTCAGGCCTTTTAGTTATTTTCTCTTTTCTCAAATATTTAACTCTGATCTGAACTAGATCAAAAAAAATTTTGACATCAATGTCTGTCATTGTGACTGTTCCTTCCCCCTTAGAAATAATCTCAGCGTTGCAATGGCTGATTCATTCCCATGGTCCCCTCTCAGATCTAGGCTACCTCACTTTGCAAGAAAGGGTTTGTTCAGCAATTTACTCAAGGTCACCCAGTAAATTGTTGGCAGAAACAGGAGGAGGACCTGGGAGAGCTACCTTTCAATTATCCTGATCATCAAAGTGACATCCACTTGAATCATGGGGATGCATTTTGTACCAAGAGAGCAACAGAGATGCTGTGCCATGTTGGAGGAGGCATTTCCCAGCCCAGCTGTCCCTCTGGTAAGTTCCAGATGCAAAGTCCATCCTTAAGCACTGGCGTCCATCGCAGGTGACCTTCTGCATTTGGTTCCCAGCCCAGACGCTGTCAAAGTGTTGCCTCAGTGTTGGCAGTTGAACGAGAAATCTGTAACTTTCCCCTAATACTGATGCTCATTAACAGGCTTCAACGCAATCATCTTCCCATGATTCCAGCAGCATCTCTTGTTTGATCAGCATCCTCAAAAAGGGATTATTTTTTTCTCCGTGGCTTCACTTAAGCTGTCCCAGGCTGCAGGAACAGGGGAGTCTTCCCAATTAGTAAGACCTGACCAGATGTTCATCCTCCCTGATCCCCAGGGGTTGATTATTGCTCACCTGACTTTGAGTTTTCTCTCTCTAGGATTGCCTTTGTCCATCTCTGACTAACCATATGTTTAATTATATTCATGAAAATGACAGGGAACATATATTGCCTTGTTCAAAAGCTTTGGTATTCACACAGAGAAAATCTCTCACTTCATTATTGCTCCTCTTGGAGTGTCTTAATGTGCTTTACAGTGAATCAAGAGCCACGGTATATTTGCATGGCTTAAAAGGATTATTACCTCGATTTTCCAGATGACAAACTTTGGCACAGAGAAGTTAAGTAGCCAGTATGAGGTCTCCCAGCAGCAGTCACAAATGAGACCCAAAATGGTCACCACAAACTCTCTATTTTCTAAAAGTCCCCAGAAAACTCTCTTTTTATAGAGCCATGCAGTGTGTCTCCATCAACCTCTATGAGTCTTACTGCACTGAAATAAATGTGTGACATATACAGCTTTGGGAGGACAACAGTGAGGTGGAAGAAAGTTGGTCACAAGGACTGAGAAACATCGATCATCTCTATGTCTAATGTCAGTGGTTGTGTTTCCACCCACAGCTCGGTACAACTCAGATGGGTTTGCTGATGTGCTGTTTATCAAGCAACGACATCAAGGAATGCAAATTACTGAGAGGAAAGTAAAGGAGGAGTGAATAAATCAGTGGTGAGAGGAGATGTTACATCCCTCTGATGTAATCACTAGGTTCATTTTTCGCAGGTTCCAGGAAGAATATACAGGAGTATACTAAGTTGTAGAGATGTCAAAACCTCAAAGTCTAGTCACACTAGAGTCTATATCCTGCTTTTTTTTTTATTTTATTTTTTTGTCCTACATAAAGGTAAATTTTAGCCATCAGTTACGATGTTTGCAATTTCTGGGGACTGTGCTGAATGTAACAAAGTATGCCATGTAAGGAACATGTTACGTGTATGAACTCACACGAGCAACCAGGGTTCATAAAGTCTGTACAAAAAAAAGAAGAGAGGGAAACTTTCCTAAAGGGTTTTGATGATGAAAGGTTTCTCAAAGTCCATAAATCCATAAAGATCTCCAGATTGCACTTCTACTTCTCCATGTTACTCTTGATGGGGACATTATATCAAGAAGGGTCCCTGATGTTTATGGGCTCTATGGAAGGCAAATGGCGATGCAAACTCCTGGTAGATCTCCACCAGCTCTTCAGCACTGGTGTGCCCTTCCAACCCACCCAGGGAGGAAAGGCTGATGAGGTTCAAGCACCACTTACCATCACCTTGTGCCGTCCAATGAGGTTTGGGGACTCGCACAGTAGCTGCACGTCTGATACGGTCACTGCACAGGGCTTCTCACCAACCAAAACGGTGTAGTTCAGCTTGGCATTCCCTCCTGCCACTGGTGGGATCAGGTTCTTGCCCTGGATAGAACGGAATACCACCCCCCCGCAAAAAAAAGAAAAAATTCAGGAAAGAGTTTGCCTTCCACCTCTTGTTTGTTCCTATGACACAGGTGTTAACATTGCACTTGACATTTGTGGTTCACCATTCGCTAATACAGAGAGGAAAAGCCAATTTAGAAAGTCAGGCAGAGGACAGCATGGATGGCTACAGGCTGTCATCAGTCAAAACAGCCTGTCCTGCTCCTCTCTGGAACTAAAGTAGAAATGTTGAATGTAAGTCTTGCACAAACACGCCTTCAACAAAACATATTCAGGCAAGTAAACCAGACAAACATGCAATAAGGTATTCTGCAAATCATTTCTTTGCACATGGACCACATATGAGTGCTGATATAGAAATGTTCGATCATAAAATTACTTCTCTGTATTGCTATTCAGAATACAGAAACACGAAGGACTGGTGTAGGATTTAACCAGGGGTGAGAGGAAGGTCTTGAAAAACCAAGAAGTAAACTTGGCTATCTAATTGCAAGCCCTGTTGCAGTGGTAGAAAATGTTCTTCTCTGGAGAGCAAAAGTGGGTACAAATTTATGCCGTACACAGGTAGCTGCAACATGAGTTTATATTTTTTAGCTATGGGTATTGGCAGATGCTGAGCAGTGATTCATGTCTGCAGATGTTGACTCTGATATGATGTGATATCATACGTGCAATGAGTGAAGGAAATTTCTGGGATGCAATTCAGATGCCACTGTGATTCGTGGGGTGCTGGCAGACACAGTGAGGCAATATGCAGCGTGTGTTTGCCCTTCCTCATCCAGGCCTTGGTCCCCATCTCACCTTCAGTATGATGGGACTTCCTGGCTTCAGCTCCAGGATCCCTGAGGGATTGAAAACCTCAAAGATTGGGTTTGGGTAGTAGGTGAAGTTGGTTTTGTTGAGGATCAGCAGAGACTGCACGTTATCAAGAATGAAACCAAACTCCTCTGGACGCTCGGCAAGCTCAGACTGGTGATTGGGGTCAACAGCCAGTGCTGGAGCCTGGCAGGTCATCTCTGTGCTGTTCTGCACCTCGCAGTTCTGGAGAAAGAAACCCAACACAAAGAGTTTATGGAAAATACCCCCAGCAGATATCTCCCAGTGAAATGCTAGCCTGCCTACTGCTGGAGGACAGGGAGGAGCAGACCTCTTTGGTTATCATGAGACAGACTGGTGTTCCACTGCTTCAAAACATACCCCATACTCATCACGCAATCAAAGCTGGGAAGGGCTTACGAAAGCTTTGCTGGGGCAGGTGTGTGGAGCAGTTTGCACTGCAATTGAGCCTCTTGTGAGAAGTGTCAAAATTGCTTTGGATTTGGGTTTATGAAGGGAGATATTAGTTCATGGCAGAGCTGGGATAAGACCAAAATTTAGGTGTCTCAATCTGCAAACTGCAGATGCCAATGAATCCTGCATTTTCCTGCATTTTCTTTTTGGACCTATCACAGTTTCACCATTGTTCATGTGCCAGTAGAGAATTTTAATGTCCGCAAAGTGCTTTGAGAGCCTTGGGTGGAAAGCCCATGAATTAATCCTAAAACTTAAGAAATGTAGAGAATCTGAACTTTCTGCCCCCACAACAATTAGTAACTCTGTATTTTTTACTTTTGGAGCTGCTTCTTCTGGAATGCTCCCAGGAAGTGCCCATACACAGCCAACACCTTTTCAGATGCTGTTGCATAGCTCCATCCTCCAACCTACTATATGTACCAGCAGGTGCTGCCTGCTCCTGAGTCTCCTAACTGGTAGTGCTAAACTCACATCTTTTACAACTCTATCTGGAGCTGCTCAACAGCTATAGATAATTGGCTCCTTCCAAGTGAATTGTCCTCCCAGAGCCTGCTAAGGCTCTGGTGGCCTTCACAGAGATGCTTCTGATTCCTCGGCGGTCACTGAGAGTTGAATTAGAATGTAAATCTAGCAGGTTAAACCTGGACAGGCTTTTGCAGGATCAGTCCAGGGAGTTGACACAGTGGTATCAAAAAGTATTATTCACAGTCCCTTCTGATCCCACCACACTCAGCTAATAACCTGAATTTGGGTCTACTTATGCACAGGCATGGCTGATAAATAATACAGGTTACACATGGGCCAAGAGAGAGGACAGGTATCCTTGAGCCAACAGAAGAAACAGTCTCAGCAGAGACCAAGATCTGAATGACCCTTCATGAACCCCTCTGTTCCCTCTTTGGTCCAGTGCTGCTTCATGAAAAGAGGATGGGGTAATCTTTCTGAAAATAAGTCATGGCCTCTATTACTCCATGCAATAGGAGATTTCAACCTCCAGACCTGTTAGCCAGACCCTGTCACCACCTTGGACATGTCCCCTTCCCAGCTCAGCAAGAATACTCACATTGATGTGTTCCTTTCCACCATGCTTTGCCCGGATCTGAGGGTTTTGGATGAGGTCTAGGTGAGTTCCCCACACTGCGATGGGTGTGTTGCCACTAGAGAAGAAGAAATGGAAGAAAAGCATGAACCCAGCTAATAGATATCAGGACCGATTGCACCAGCAATGGGTGATCTGCATTCCTAAATGTTGATTGCAAGGTGTTTGACCCCATCTCATAGTACCATAGGAAGGGAAGGAAAAACAAAACAAAGCAAATAATTATTCATTCATTCATAAGGGAAAAAATAAGTAAAAACACATGCTTTCTAACACTGTCACATCAGGCAGCAGCTGGGTGTTTTTCATTATTAGCATTCAGCAATCACAAGCTTCGGTAATGAGAAGAGTGGGAAATTTAACAGGGGCTCTTCAGAATGGTCCTCAGACTATATCTCCTACATCACTTAAGGAAGGGAGCCCAAAAAACCTTCATAGATATTGGCCTGTGCAAGCAGCTCTTGAGGATTCAGCGTTACTTTCATTGAGGGCTGTAGTCCCATCTCACACGTTAAACCTGCTATAAAAACATCACCCTGAATAAGGAAATGTCACCTCAGTGAACACACTTCAGCACTGCTGGGGAACCCGGTCCTGCAGCATCTGGAAGAAACAGAGCCAAAGTCTTCAGCCTTGGTGTGCATAAGGCATTTGTTTGGTTTCCCTTTGGTGACACAGGCAGATAAGCTCTGCCTTGTGTGTTAGATCCAACACATGACAGAACAGAGATTTCCAGTCACTGTGTCCCTTTGCTCAGACAAGGACTGGTTTCCTGAGAAAGCTGTTTCATGCAAGCCACATCCCTGCATCCAGTAGATTTTCTTGGTTTTATAACATCTCTCTCATCCCAGCTTAAGACAGGGAGATGTAGATGGAACCCTTCTCATTCACTGCAATAACTATCATAGAATCCTAGAATGGTTTAGGTTGGAAGGGACCTTAAACCTCACACAATTCCAAACCCCCTGCACCATACGCAGGCACACCTCCCACTAGACCAGGTTCCCCAAAGCCCCATCCAGCCTGGCCTTGAAAACCTCCAGGGATGAGTCATCTACAACTTCTCTGTGCAACCTGTTCCAGTGCCTCACCACCCTCATAGCAAAAAATTTCTTCCTGATCTCTAATCTAAATCTCCCCTCTTTCAGTTTAAAGCCATAACCTCTCGTCCTATTGCTCCACTTCCTGATCAAGCGTCCCTCTCCGTCTTTCCTGCAGGCCCATTTAGGGCCTGGAAGGGGCTATAAGGTCTCCCCAGAGCCTTCTCTTCTCCAGGCTGAACGACCCCAACTCTCAGCTTTTTGTCACAGCAGAGGTGCTTCGGCCTCTGATCATCTTCATGGCCTCCTCTGGACACGCTCCAGCAGGTCCATGTCCTTCTTATGTTGGGGGCTCCAGAGCTGGACGCAGTACTCCAGGTGGGGCCTCCCGAGAGTGGAGCAGAGGAGCAGAAGGAAACAGCTTTCAGAAACACCCTTCTTTCCTTTCCCTTGCCTCTTCCAGCTGCAGCCAGCACTGCTGTTTGTGGGACTTTGGGGAGCGGAGGGAGGAAGGAAACTGCAAAGGAGTGTTCCAAGGCTTCAGTAGAAGCTGATGCATGGGTTGGCTTTGAAGGCTGCGTTAAGGGAAAAGGTTCACCATAGGCAGCTTTAGCCATCCCAAATTGAAACATCATTGCTCTAGTAGGGTGAGCTCTCCCTTTGCAGCACCGTGGTGGAGCCAACGTGATGCAAGGCCTGAAGGGGGAAGAGTTATCTGAGAAAACAAAAAAAATCTTCAGCTGTCCAGGCTCACACAGCCAGGGCAGGATGAGGAAATGTCATCAACAGACAGCCCCATCTCTGAGGGTTTCCCAGGGTGAGGAGTGCTCTCATCCGTTTCAGCACCTGCCTCCGTAACTCCCCTTGGAAACTGTCCATGATGCAGTTTATTTCCTGGAGTGCTCTGCTGAGAGTGGGAGACCATGAAGAAATCGATGGGATTGGGAAAAGAAAGCTCAGAATCTCTTTCCCGCCTCCAGGTAAACCTCACATACATGAAAGGTGAAACAAATGCATTATAAATGAGGCAACTCCAGAGAATAAACACTCTGTAAGGAAGAAGCCTGTATTGACCAACAAATCTTCTCCAGTTCTGACCTCTGTTTCCCATGTTCCTCATTTATCTTCCATTATTAATCAGATGGGGCAGGGAGGAATGAATGCAGATATACATCTCTTCTCAGTAGCGTTGCTACCAGGTCTCAGTAAGTTGGCCACAGCTAGCTGGGACTATGCTTCAGCCCCTTTAGTTACATCCACACTGATTAACCAAACATCCAGGACACCAGCTCAAAGACTGGCTGGTGGCCATCGATGCTGATAAGCTGTTAGCAGTACCCCAGGCAATGCCTGGTCACGGTTCAAGGGATAGCCAGAACCAGGGAGCACTCCCACCAAGCAGGATAGATGAAGCTAAACTGCTTTTGAAGGAGGAAAGATCATTTGTGGTATGGATGAGGGCTATGCATGCTCGCTGGCTTCAAGACTGAAGAATACACCTGAATTAAGTACTTACTTGTTTAAATGCAGCCTATGTGACCAAGAAGCCTGTAAATTTGAAGTCATGAGCCATGAGCTCTCCCAAAGAGCATTGTCACAACCATGTGACATTAGGAAGAAGTTTTTCACTTTAAGGGTGGTAAGGCACTGGACCAGGTTGCCCCGAGAGGTTGTTGAGGCCCCATCCCTGGAGGTGTTCAAGGCCAGGCTGGATGCGGCCTTGGGCGCCCTGGTCTGGCGGGAGGTGTCCCTGCCTATGGCAGGGGGGTTGGAACTGGATGATCTTCAAGGTCCTTTCCAACCCAAACCATTCTATGATTCTATGATTCTATGCCTTTTGGCAGGTGCTCCTGTGACACTTCTCTGAGAGGTTTCTTATGGTCTTTCATTGAAGCAATGCCTGTACAGACTGGTCCATGGTTAGGACAACACTTGTCCTTGAGTTTTGCAGAGTACATCAAGTTCTTGCTCACTGAAACCATCAGCTATGATGGGAAATTCCTAATGGGAAATTCTACAGGAAAAGTTCATTTTGCCATTTCCATAAAATCCTCTTTGATGGTTGAGCTCTCTTGAACACACATAGGGTCTCTTCTGAAGTCACACACCCTCTTAGAAGAGAGCTCCCCTTCCCTGCCTTACAGAAAAAATAACCTCTCCCCAAAATTCAGCTTCACATTAAGTATTCCTGATCTCATCCAGGGACCTCACTCATCAGAACCCAGAAGAGAAGTGTATAAACCAAGTTTTTCTGTTGCCACTGCCCTGGTGCTTCTGGATTTTTGGCTGTAGACCTTTATAATTTTTATTATTATTTATTACTATTATGAATCTCTGCTGATTCAAACTAGAAGGGCTTTTGTATCTTTGCTCAGCTGAAAGTTTTACGTGTTCCAGACATATCAAATGTGTGCACATACATACAGATATATGACTGTGTATATACATACATAAATCCTTTTATTTAATCAACCAAGTCTGTGCACACAGTTTTAAACCCACATGTTAAAAATTCTGTATTTGGTTTGGAAACCAAGCTTGCAGGCTCAGACCACAGTTATTTAGCACAGCCACAGCACCGGATCAGAGAGGGGCCTTTTCTCTGGGGAAAAAAAAAAAAGAAAAAAAAAAAAAAAAGCTCCAAAGCAGTTGTGTTTTCTGAAGGTACAAAATCACCCCAAACCCCTCTCTGGCTTGCAAATCAAGCAAATACGTTCGTTGCTTGCCTTTGCACAAAAACCACCATCCATTGCCTTTTGTGTCCGCAGGTGAATGAGTGGTCACAGCCACTTCTTGGCCCAGGTCAGATCAGAATCTGGAGATCTGCTGCCACTGCCCAGCAAAACACCAGAGGTGCCAAGACTATGAGCTTTCTTAATTTAACTCTTTATTGTTCCAAAAGCTCTGAGCATAATCTCAGATAATTGCTGGATGTAATTCAAATCAAACCCAGATCAAAAGTATTAATGGAGCCTCATAAAATTCTAGTTACCTGCCAGCCCAGAGTGACTCCCTTTTTCTTTTTTTTTTTTTTTTTTTTTTTTTTGGCTATGGGAGTACATTAGCAGTAATCTTTTCTTTATTGTCTTGGAAAATGGCACTTGAGAAGGTTTTAAGCCAGGCTCGGTACATTCATTTACTAATTTTGCAAAGCTGGTTTAGTAGTAATCATCTATCCCTCAAAACAGCTTAGCCCCACAGCCAGGAGTGATGAATCAGAGCAGCACAGTGGATTTGCTGTAATGAATCATACCGCATAACAAATATACTGAGGAACAGCCTTCTCAGCCCATCTCCAGATCCACGTGTTTAGATTAACTTATTTCTTCCTTGATTCTCAGGGCTGGAGTTGGCTGCACTTTTATCCGGCTCTCTGTGGAGGCCTTACTTTAAGGCTTGTCTCCATTATGACCTGCTGGACGGAGTTCCACAGCTAACAGTTATAGTGCTTAGAACTGTCCCTGATGCCCTGAACCGTAGTGATGATCCTGGATATTGCATCTTCTCTCTCTGTACTGTCCCCCAAGGTTATGCACCTTGGGAGGGATTCCAAAGTGCACAAGAATCACAAAATCCTGGGGTTGGAAGGGACCTTTGGAGCTCATCTAGTCCAACCCTCCTGACAAAGCAGGGTCACCTAGAGCAGGTTGGATGGGAACGCATCCAGGTGGGTTTTGAATATCTTCAGAGAAGGAGGATGAAAGTGGGTAGGTCTGTATAAAATTAGGCACCTGTTAATGATCAAGTGGATGTTTTCTGCTTTCAGAGACTCAGAAAACAGCAAAGGGTAGAGGTTGTACCTGGATGATGAGACCAGTAGAGTTCCAGTCATCCATCCTAGCAGCTACATACCCTGCAAGTAAGCTGGCACCCACTAAACAAGAGCCTCTTCTTAATTTCCTTTGTGCTGGGATGTGGGATGGGAGATCCAAGGCAGCAAGCAACGGGATGCAGAGTCTCCTCACCCCCAGGCTGGGCAAAGCTTTGCTAATACACCTGAAGCATCTCCTTGGCTGCTTCTTCATCTCTTGTGGGCAGCTTCAGCAGAGAAACCAAGGAGCAAACGGGCTCTGGAGAACTTCTCCTCTCACATTCCAGCCAGACCTGAGGCCAGGTGGAGGAAAGTCCCCGTGCTGCAACTTTCTTGGGGATAATAGGGGAATTCACTCTCCTTAGCTGTCAATCCTGCACCTTTTAACCAGCAGTGAACTCACTTTAATAAGAAAGGGAGTAAAGCGATTTCTCATTTCACTGATAACCTGAACTCTGACTGAAAATAAAAACCCCAAATGGAAAATCCAGACGCTAAAGCTTCGAGCCCAATGTGCAAAGATTCAATCCGGCTAAATCGGTAAATTCCCTCACGGTAATTAAAGGCACTAATTGATTTGTGAAAACATCTTCTGGATGGGAGCTGAACTGGGGGGATTTACAAGCCCTTCTCCTAATCCCCAGATACTCCAATCAGTCCGGTTTGACAGGGGAGCAGAGAGCTGCCGTGGATGAACGAGGGGAGACTAAGATTTCTTATTCTATATCTTTTCAAGGAAATACAAGTGCATTTAATGACCAATTTCTCTCTTCCCGAGGCCATTTTTGCAGGCTTCTGAGAGCATTTGGGTACCGCTTTGATGCCTTCCACAGCCAGGGCAAATGCTCCTCTCAGGCACCTTCATGTGAACCCTCTGAATTCACCAAAGCAGCGTCGATGGGGTGAAGAGAAAAAGGGATGCCTAACGAGGAGGAAGGCTGTTTGATAGGGCACGGACCAGGGCTGCCTTTGTGTTTCATCTCAGGACACAGCCCCGGGGCTTTAAGGCATGACAGCCAAACAAGCTGAATTATAGATGCTGGATCACCCTCCTGAATTATAGATGCTGGATCACACCACAGTCATGACAGCTTAGTCCTAAACCAGCAAGTCCATGAAGGCTGTGGAAAAGGTAGGAATTGCTGCTTTCAAACCCAAAGGGGATTCACTTCTCGAAGCACAGTTATGACATTTATGGCTGGGTTTAAGAGATCAATGACTGGTCCCTCTGCCATAAAAAGCCATGGACCCAGCCCAACAGGGCCTGAAAGACAGTCAGAAAGACCATAAGCACTAGGAATTGCAGATTTTAGGGATATAACTGTGTAGTTTAACCAGCTCCAGTGGTCTGTGGAATTATGCAGACAGGAAGGTTCCTGGGGCTGGAGATAAACCCTTGGCTGCAGCAAAGAGGGAGAAAGCTTCGACACTAGGTTGGAGACTCGCTGCATCTACTTTTGCAATTAAAACACGAAGGCTCCAAGGCAAGCTTCTGGTGAGCATTGGCAGCTGGATTTTGCTGCATTAAGCCAGGAAGCTTTGCTCTGCTAGTGAAGGTGGGGTACAGGATCCTTTAGGTTTGGACTACGCAGAGTTTGTTTGGAGAAAGAACCTTGCTCCCGCTCATCCCTCACTAGACCCTGTGGAAATTTTGCCCTGGGGTACCCATGAGCACAGGCACACGTTGAACATCCAAGGTGTTACAATGAATGCACTGTTGGCCTTTTACTCTTCCCAGGAGACCACCAGCCCTCGTGGTCTTGGGCTCTGGGAAGCAGCTCAGCACAAGTCTATTCCTTAGTGAACATAATGATTGGAAAGCACTTTTCTGCATCAAGGACCAATATGAACACACCAGAGCTGCATTAGAAAACCATGAGATGTGGTAGTGGGTGTCCATAGGATGTTTACCTGAAGATGCTCCACTCAGGCTCAATCCTCAGGATGGTCGGATCCTCTACGTATTCATACTGCAACTCCTGATGTATCTTGGCCTTGTCCACTCTCACAGACACCTTCACCTTCTCAAAGCCTTCATCTGAGGCAGTGGTGTTACAGACAATGTGCTTGGTGGATCTCCTGTCAGCAGAAGCAAATAAATATAAATCAGGTGCTACCAACAGAAAAAAAAAATGGTGCCAAAAGGAGCCCAGCTACTTAGTCTTATGTGCTGTGACCTTAATTTGTCTACTGTGAAGTGGTGAAACTCACTGCTACAGGAATATGCTGTGAATAGTGTGACACATTTATCTGAGGAAGTGAAATTGCCTTTTTACTAGTTTAAACAAAACCACAAGAGCCATTTTTTCTCAGGTCTCAGAGTGAGAACTGAGCCACAAGGGAAGTCCAAAACAGACTTCTCTCCGGAAGTATTTCTGTGTCATTAAATACTTGATGGATGTTTCCTTCCTGCCTGCTGACGTATGCAGCGGCAGCTCATAAAAAGGGGTGTTTGCACCTCAGCTTTCCAGCCTGGGATAATAAAGTTTATTTTGCATTAGGACTGTAAGCCTTGGTTGAGTGCAATTTGCGGCGTGCCTGGGACGTGTGCATGGGAGGTGCTAATGTAGCGGAAAGCATTTGATGATTATACTGAAAGAGTATTCTGCATAGAGCTTTCCTTTTGGGCAGGGGTCAAAACCAGCTCCAGGCCTGAATTTTGCAGTGGCCCTTATCTTCCATAAAGAGCCAAAAAGCCAGGCTCCAAACACCCTCAGCCTCATCTTATACCCATAGAAAGGATAAAGCAGGGTGCATCTTTCCCTTGCAGCATGGCGCTCGCCTTAACTGACTGCAACACCCTGGAAGATCACGCTCAACCCTCTTAAAACTCTCCAGTCTCTTCGGAAAACATCTCCAAGCAGCTGTGGTTTCCACTTAGCCTTTTAAATCACAAGCTGTGAATTCACCCTCCTGAATTATAGATGCTGGATCACACCACAGTCATGACAGGCAGCTAAACAGGTTCCCCACAGCCAGGAGAGGGAAGGGCATTGCCCCAAAACAGTGGTCCCAGGTTTCCAGTGAATAGGCCCTTCTTCTGCCAAGGACAGGCTGGGAGAAATGTGCCAACTTCATCTTCGGCCTCCACCAATACTGGCAGCAAAATGTGTTGCACTGGGGACTTTTGAGCTGCAGGAGCCCCTGGGAACGGGATTCAGGCTCATTCTCACAGGGATCAGGGAACATTCAGCAGGTAACACTGACATTAAGCCTCTCTGAACTGCAATTGAACAGGAGCCAACCCAGAGCTGAAATGCTGCAAATCATCCATTTCTTAGCACTACAGGACTGTTCTGGGATAAAAGGGAGGTGTTTTAATACTTAGAACCAATGTTGTCAGATTTTCTTTGTCGCCTCTGCTAAAGCAGGGACATGAAAATGAATCTTTTAAACAACGTACTCCAGAGCAAGTAGCATAGCATAGGACCGTGGAGAATTGTAGTGAAATTTGACAAGGGGCCATAGAAAAAAAGCACATCAAATACCAATCAAAACAATGAAATAAATCCTATTCTCCCACTCTAAAACATGCACACTAAGGTTGCGTATGGTGCAGAATGAAAAAGTCCCATTGCTGAATAGACCTGGCCACAGGCAAAAGAGGCACTTGAGGGACAGGGTGTCTGGGCTGCAGAAGTCTCTTGACTATAATTGCTCACATCTTTCAGACTTGGGCATGTACAGTAGGAAGGATTCATCCATACCTGTAGAAGAGGCAGGGCTGTCGCCCAAAGGTCACGATGACATTGCTGCCTGCATTGAGGTTGTTGCCCGTAATTGTCACCTGGGTACCACCCGACACTGGTCCCCGCTTCGGCTTGAGATCGGAGAGTGTCAGAGTCTGTGAAGGCAAAGGGTCATGTTGAAAACACAGCAGAGGAGTGGAGGTACCTTCCCTTTCTCTTTTTACTGCTGGAGAGAGGTAGACACCCCCAGGGGTTAATCACGTGTTAGCTCGACTTCAGAAGATGACCTTATCTTCTGGCCAATAGAGGAGCCTAGGATGACACCAGTCCTATCATACACATCTTGCTTGAATGCCAAGTTTGGTGGGATGAATTCAGACCTAACCCCAGTCTAGTCTCCTCACCCCTGCAAAATCTGGCCTGCCCTTGTACCCACTTAGAAAGACTCTGTTCTTCCAAAGTCAGTTCCACACCTGGATCAGCTGGAGTCGTGATCTCCCATCTCCACTGCTCATTTGGCACAACCCAAGTGTCTATTTGCTATCGTGCAACGCCACCTCTGCAAGATAACCCAGGTCTTGAACTAGCTCCAAACTGTGGAGCTCGCAAGTAGTGAAAATGATTGGATCTTGAAAAGATTACTCTAAACTGCTGATCTGACAAGGGAACAGGACCTGCTGTGCAGCTCCAGAGAGTTGCCTAAAAAAATCGCCCTGTGCTCATGGGCTTTTTCCCTGGGAAGGAGGAGAGCTGTGGTTC